TACCGAGGCCGTATGTAGCCCGGAATGTGAAATGAGTTTGACACCCCTGGTACAGAGAGAAACTAGACTCTAATTAACATCTGCCTTAAAATAGAAGTTTTGAACGCTCGGTAATCGTAGCCAGACATTACCGGTACTCAAAGTTGAAGTTTGTGTCCTTTCACGCGATACATCATTTTTTCCATCATGTAGCTCGAATGTGGCGACGGAGCATATGATGATGTTGCTGCTTGGGAGGAAGTGGAGGTCACGTGACTGCTTAACAAACAGAAAGGGCCATCGATTGCAGTCGCGACGGAAACAAGCCCCTGAGAGTAGATCTGAATGAAGTGAGTTAATCAACGGTGCAAGCTGCAGACAGCGCGTCAATATTATTGACCCTTCGTAAATATGAGGCGTGTATTCTACCCGTGCCGAGGCTTCCGAGTTACCATGAGCCTTCGGCGCGGAGGCGAAATATACAGCAAAGCTGCGGGTGATTCGTAAAACCGCAGTTTAGTACGCTGTACATTTCACGGAACGCGAGGGTAGTACACGAACAAAATGTGGGAGCCTTTGAAAATCAATCGAGGGCAGGGCAAACGCTTTTCAATGAAAGCGATGAGTCAAATAACATGTCATCAGCCGCTAAAACCTGCAAGAACGTTTGCCACTAAGACACAAGACCTAATCCGTATAAACTGCAAACAATGGCGCAATCCAGTCGTCTCTGAGGGGATAATTACAAGGAAGAAGACAAAAGGCACACTTTGGATGACACTACTACACGGGTACAAATAGATTTTTTTTTTTTTTTAATGATTGTATGATTTTGATTTTTGACTTCATTTCTATTTTTGAACTACTTTTAATGTTCATTTTTTTCTACTTTTTTTTCTCATTTTCTCAATTGTATTCATGTTGTCATTTTTAATATATTGTTTTTATTGTTGATTGGCAGAATTCCAGGAGAACACCCATCAGCGTTGGTAACCTCAATGGAATACACAAATAAAAGTGATGCCATATTATATATATATATATATGTATACATACATACACACACACACACACACACACACACACACACACACACACACACACATATAGATTAGGTTGAGTGAACATTCTCAATTTTCCATCATTCGAAATATGAGTGTCAATGCTTGTTTGTCTATATGTGCACTAAAATTGCCTGGCGACGAGTCCCAAAGTCATCTGGGATAGCCTCCAGCTTACCCACAATCCTCCTAAGGACAAGCTCTATAGAAAAGAAATGCACGCAGTTTTGCGGTGTCGCAAAGGCACATAAATGTCGTGATTATGATAGCACATGTACATTATTTGTGGTACTTAGGGAAGGAAGCGTAAATACATATACAGTAAAAAGTCCATTAGAATTGTGAATGTGCATGCAGGCAACAATGCTGTGACTCTGCATTATGCTGCCACTGACAAAAAGCTCCATTCAATCCCTCACAGAGGACAAGAAAAGCCGCTCCCGAATGGTGGCTTTTGCCTTTTATAGGGAAGAGTCACGCACATTTGTGGCAAAACAAACACAACAGCCTGCTTAATTTAAAGCTTATTAAACTCCAGGAAAGAAAAATTTGGGTGGTTGTTAACCTCATAGTTTTGAGGGTGTAGACAGTGTTGTTCCATTTTTTTTTTTGTTTTGTTCTGGGTCCAAAGATGGACCAGCCCAAAAAAAAAAAAAAAAAAGTCATTCAACTGTCGATGAATCATTTCATCTTAACCAAACATACATCTTCTTACACTTGATGATGATGGATAAAAATGTTCCAAAGTGACAGTGTGACCCGAATGGATCGTTCCCATTGTTTCCAGTCCGGGAAAATTGTCTCCAAATAGAAAAGCGAGCAAAAGTGTGAGAGCCACTGCATGAGAATGACCCCTATGTAGTATTGCAGTGTCTCAAGGCAAGGCGTGCACCAGACTGCTAATATTTCCCCTTTGCCTGACAGCAGCCACACTCTCTGTGCGCCAAGCTCCTCCGCTGTGCTTCTTCCTCGCCATTAGTCATGCAATATGTGAGGCTTCCTCATCAGTCACTCTCAATGACATAGTGAGATATTTCCACATGGCCGCCGGTGCTAATTATTAGCATGAGCAGTGCCGCAAAATGTCTTTTCCACTCCTCGCAAGGCAAACAGCAAAGTAAGTGTGTAGGACAAACACTGTGGGCCAACTAGGAGGTTCATTGGAGCTCTCCGGGCATATGTTTCTTGTAAAGCTTTACATATTTCTAAGCCGGTGGTGCAACACTGTTTGGTTTGCACTTTGCAAGGATGCAAGGATGCAGGGTACATCGTGGACTCTCTCAATCGCCTCAACAGTGCCACCTATTGATGAAAAGGGTAAAGTGCTTCTACCTTTTATTCAAGAGCAGTTCAAACAACCATTCCCAAAATTAGGAGACGATGTTTAATTTTTTTTATTCATTCATTACGATTGTATTCTGTTTTTCTAACAGGTGGCCAATCGTTAAATACTAAAAGTTATTTTTACCGACTATGCAGGAAATTCAGACCTTCACCAACACCGGTGGATGGAACTGGAAAAAATGTTCACCCAAGATTTGTTTAGTTCATGACCCATTTAATTTTGACTAATTTTAATAACTTCGTAAACTGTCAGCGTTTCTTTCATTTCAGTCAATCATAAATTTATTATTTGTATTTCAGACACACAGTAATATACAATACTATTTATTTCGATAAGGTAGGTAGGGTAATATTTTATCCTGATTCATGTTGGGAGACACGTTACAGCAAATCTTGGGGGAAAAAAAAACATTTCAAAAATATCACACCTTAGTTTGCATATTAAATCAGACAAGACATTCTTTTGCTTTTAGTTAATCGTTTTTTTCAATATGGTCATTATCCACTCTTTAACCAGAAGAAGTCATATGGTTCCTCGGTTACAGTAAGGCAAACTGTGTCCATTTTGGTAACAAATATTCTTACAGAAACATTTTCATAAAATGGCAAGCTAAGCTCATGTGATTCGGGAGATATACCAAAATCCGAGCATTTTCAGATGAATTTTTGAAGGTCTGGAAGATGGCAATTAGTCTCAAATGTGGATCAAATCTAGACTGACGCATGGTTTGACATAACCTTGTAAACACAACGCACACTTGAATCAAAATTCTTTAAGACAAAACATTCGTGCTAAAGTTGAAGTTATAGCCGTGGGGGGAAAAAAAATACGGCTCATCCCAAACAGTAAATATATTGTCCTTGGTCGAGGTAATGAAGTCTATGAATTGACTGGTTTCCTGTAGTTTCTGGCTAGGAAATACCTCTCCGCAGAGTCCTTGCGACTCGCATGTGGCTTTAAACTCCGAACGCTCCCAAACACGAGACAGAGTTTGTCCTGGAGATGGCAGGTCAGGGCGCCGTCCCAGTATTTGCACAGCAGAGAGCCTCCGGGGTGCAAAATCATCTCGGCCAAGTCAAGCAGCGACGAGCACAAGCCGATGAGTCTCTCGTGGTCCAGGTCCCGGAAGCCGCTGGCATTGGGCGCCATGTCACTGAGGAGGACATGAGCCCGGCCGCCGGGCAGGACCTCAGACAGCTTGGCATGTGTGGCGGGGTCGGCGACATTGTGGTTGGACAGAAAGTGGGCGCCATCCAGAGGTGGTATGTTTAGGAGGTCAATGCCGACGACTGTACCCCGGGGTAACGTTGGATCTTCAGTTAAAACACACTAATGTTAATTTATCTATCTTGAAGTGGATATGCATGCAGAAAATGCACAGCAGTAATGGACATGCCAATATGTAACACATTATCTTGTCAAACTGTCTACAATGCAGCTTGGACAGCAGTGATTTTCAAAGTATGGTACAGTTCCCTCAAAATGTTTTGGGACAGCAAGGATAATTCCTTTGATTTTGTTGTATACTGAAGACAATTGGGTTTCACACTGAAAGATGAATACGAAACAAAAGGTCAGAATTCCAGCTTTTATTTCATGCCATTAACATCGAGATGTGTAAAATAACTCGGGGAAGAGCACCTTTTGTTTGCAGCCACCCACTTTTCAAGTGAGCAAAAATACCGGAACGGACATTATTAATTAAATGAACTTAAAGTGAATAGCATTTAATATTTGGTGTCTTCACCAAGACTTCACCAGACTGTTGGAGTCTTTATTTGAAATGTTTTTCCAAGCCTTTATTGCGGCCTTTTTCAGTTATTGTTTCTGTGGAGTTATTTTGTTATTTTTGTATTACACTTTTCCGGACTTTTCTTTTCTCTTTACTTATTCACCGAACTGCTCTGATGTACAGTTTATACGCAAGACATGTAAAGTTATTTCTTGGCTAGCCAAACAACGCTTCATTTAATTACTAATCCCGAAAAATGCACTCACCGGTCCCCGCTGAGTTGACCCGGTGCACAGCAACCTGGCTCCAGGCTCCGGGCGCCGTCCCGCAATCCACCACGCAGCTTCCCGGTTGCAAGAGACGGAACTTGTCGTCGATTTCCAGCAACTTGAAGGCGCTCCGGCAGCGGAAGTTTAGAGCCTGAGAAGCTTTGACGTAAGGGTCGTTCGTCTGCCGCGCAAGCCACCTGCGCTCCGCGTTGCTTTTCTTCTTCTGGAGGCGACAAGACGAATGCAAAAATCTCCGGTGGAGAAGACAAAACATGTTTTGGAATCAAATTTGGAGGGCAAAAGTGACCAGGGAGAGTAACAGGAACTCGGTTGAGCTGCGCATGCGTCGAAGTGTTACTTTCACGTGAATGGCGTGCATCAACTAATATATGTCCCCTGAAACAAGACAATGATGCTACGTAGTCGACGTTTACTGTATTCGTTTTAGTTTGATTGAACTAGACAATTAGCCTCCTTCGCGGGCGTTTGTTGTTTTCTTTCAACACAATATATAATTCGTGGTTCGTTTTCGACTTGTGTCAGGACTGAAGTTGTTAATTTGTTTTAGTGTAGGAACCTTTCACGTTTGTTTCGAGTCGATTGTATTACGGAGAGATACACTGAAAGCGGGAATTTATTTATTGAGCAAAAAGAAATAGGACGTAACTTTGACGTGTCCTATCGGTCGACGTAATTGCAGTCGAATCCTCTATTGAGACAGGTGGGATGCTGACTTCCAAGCTCCTGACTCTGGTTCTGGTGGTCGAGCCTGGCAGGGTGCTACTGGGCATGAAGAAGCGAGGATTCGGGGCTGGGAAATGGAATGGTTTTGGGGGCAAAGTCCAAAGTGGAGAAACTGTTGAAGAAGGAGCAAGAAGGTCCGTTCATATTTGACAAGGAGATGATATTGTTGGTATATACTGTTCTATAAACTTTTGTTTCATGCATCTCGTCTTAGCAGTAGACTGTCATCACAGTAAATATCACATGCTTAAAAATAATTTGTGTATATGGTAGTGTGCCTTTGGTTCATATAATGAAAGAACATTTTCTCAATAGTAATATTTGTTTATTATCCATCAATCTATCCATCCATTTTCAAATCTGCTTATCCTCACAAGAGTTGCAATCTTAGGGCACAGATAGACGAACAACCATTTGCGTTCACAATCACACCTAGGGAGAATTTGGAGTTCCCAGTCAACCTGCCATGTATGTTTTTGGAATGTGGGAGGAAACCTGAGTACCCGGAGAAAACCCACGCAGGCACAGGGAGATCATGCAAACTCCACACAGGAAGGTTGAAGCTGTGCACTGCGAGGCCGGCGTGCTCACCAGTCGACCGCCATGCCGCCATTTATGTTTATTATTGTATTAAAATGATTTGACAAACTCAAAACGTTTTATGAGTGTGTCAAACTTGCTTTGGTCACAGGTCACCATGTCCACATTGTTTCCGTCAGGGGGCCATGATGACCATATAACTGTATAATAACTAGGGATGTTAGATACTTTTTCAGACCTATACCAGTATGAATTTTCACTCTGAGTACTCACAGAGTGATTTCACGATAACAAAACATTGGGAACACATTCTGTGTGTATGTGTCCATTCATTTCAATTTGTTTTTCCTTTTGGGTCAGAGAACTCCTTGAAGAGAGTGGCCTCACAGTGGACACACTAGAAAAGGTTGGAAACATCCAATTTGAAATGGTCAGTGATGCGCAGCTGCTCGACGTCCATATTTTTAGGGCCGACTCGTACAATGGAGAGCCAACGGAAACGGAAGGTAAGAGTTTCCACAGCACCAGTTTTATGAAGCTTTTAATTGAGAACATGTTGCAAACTTTCACTTTCCCCATGCTGTAGAAATGAGACCTCAGTGGTTCGACCGTGACAAAATCCCTTTTGACCAAATGTGGCCCGATGACAAGCTGTGGTTCCCGCTGCTGCTACAGAAGAGGAAATTTGCAGGCTACTTTCAGTTCCAGGGCCACGACGTCATTCTGAGCTACAAGCTGGATGAGGTGGAGGAGTTGTGAGATGCTCGGAAGCTGCGTGGGAGGTGTCGCATTCCTCAGTGTTCAGCCAACACTCCGAAGTACTGATGTGAAAAATATCCTGTGCTAGAAATTGCCATTGCCGTTACGCAAGAAATTTCATGTGAATGCTGAAGAGGACTTAGGCCAAAGCTGCATCTCATGAAATGAGTCTGGCGACTTGGTGCCTAAGTTGAAATGAGAAACTTCTTTTCATCAAACCAAAGCTTTGTCTAATCGAAAAAAGCGGCATAGCTTTGTCAAATAGAAAAACAACGTGGCTTTATGCCATCCTGTGACATCCACAGGTAACACCAAACCTTTTTGTGTGTCACTTGTGGATTCTCAGTACAACACTGACTTGGGGAGTTCAGAACAATCAGATCATAAAATGTACGAAATGCCCATCCTTATCTCATCACAAGCTAGCATGAAAATCTGCCCCCTAACGGTTGTGAGCAGCCTAAGTGCAATCGCATCTGTAAAGCAACAGCGTTGTTTAATTGCAAAAGTCACTTAAATGTTGGTTAGGAATGTTGGCTCTGCTTTTAAGTGCAAAAAAAAAGTTTTTTGTTGGTTACACGATTAAAAAACACAAAACAGGCATTTTCATTCTTTATTCCTCAGTGGAGCAAAATATCAACAGATTCATCAGTCATCTCTGAGTTAATTTCCTATAAAATGCCACCAAAATGAATGTTTGTGCAGTATTGTTTGGAAGCTGTGCAAATCAGACCAAGGGTTCCTTTTTTTTTCCAGGAGGTGTCTTTTTGTTTTTTTATAAGAATAAAAGTGTTCCAAAACAGCTTTGAAACTCATCACCTGGTTGGTCGGATTCATACTTTACATATTGCACATCTGGAGTGAGAAGTGTAGTGTCATTCCAAAGCTCAGCTCGCGTTGAAACGGTATTGTGCATGTTGGAGCGTCGGCCCCTTGAATTAGCTTTTCAACCAAAGCATGTGGGAGTTGTCATGTCAACGATGAGCAAACTGCATAAAACAAGGCGGCAAAATGGGAAGCAAACAGATAAAGATGTGTATCATCTGTATCAAATATCGGAATTCTGGGAGCAAAAATAAACAGTGTTCCCAGGATTTAAATAAAGTAAAATACTCGATTTTATTCCCTCCACTTGTTATGCAATAACTTAAGAACATAAAGGGCAGGAATGTCCACTGTGCTACCTGGTCCCTTACAGCCTGGAGAATTTCCTTCCGAGTTGGCAGTAAAAGTTTAATTTGGACATTGGGAGCATTAGCCGACAGCCAAAATGTCAAAAGGCCAAACCTAATAAACCCAAATGGAGAGTGGTAGGAAAAACCACTTGTAGTGAAATGTGTGCTGTGCAATTGAAAGCTTTTTTTTTCTTTTTAAACCCCGCCCAGTTTCCCTTTTGCGTCACGAACCCATTTATTCGAGGGCGGGTTTCAAGCCGTTGTTTTCAACGAAGAGGCAGCTGAGCTTGGGCTGGAGTTCATTCCACACCGCGCCCATCTGGAAAGAGAGTAACATCTTATTTTTCCATCATTTGGTATGATGCTTATAATAGAACAATAGAAACAAAACAAAAAAAAAATCGATTGGAGAGGGGCGGAAAAAATAAAGTATTTGGACTCATCATTCAAAACCTTCCTGACACTCATAGCAGGATATGAACAAAATATTTCATATTATGGTTCAGTTAAACGTTTTACAAAGAACACCTCCATTATGGGGGGGGGGGGGTTCCACTATCCTCTGTTACTCGCTGAAAAACTCACCTATTGCCTCGAGGCTAAGTTAATCAACTCCCAATCACAAAAATCTCATCTCTCAATTGAGATTAAAAAATTCAACATCGAGGACCTATTGTACGCGATTCCTTTTCTGTACAGACGGGGCTTTGGCGCCATCTTGTGGCATTTTAGAGTGTTTCAGAAAGCACACAAAAATAATACAACAACGTGATACCTCCCTCCACGTCAAAAAAACAAATATCTGGCCATAGTTTCCAAAGAATAAGATGTGAATTTCTGAGTAGAGACCAACGAATATGTAGGCAATGGCCGCATAAGCGGAAGTATTCTAAATAGAAAGCACAGCGTTACCTCTCGGTGTCCTTGCACCTGGGAGTTGACAAAGGCTCCCAGGATGTGGGAGGTGATTGGCAAGTAGGTGAAGATGAGCTGCGTCTCTTGGTGGAGGCAGAACAGAGAAAAGTAATTCCGCAACTCCATGATCTGTATGGCAGTCTCTTGCTAGAAATAGAATCAAAGGACGAGAACAGAAAAAACATGAGCACCCTTTATCAACATTTCCTTTCATTTCTCAGCGGATAGGACGTACGAGTCTAACCTGAACAATCCGCGATTCGAGCTGCTCCATGGATGCGTGCTCTTTGGGCTGCACGGTGGTGCTCATCATCTGCCTCTTCATCACGCTGTACTTGTAAAGCGCCCGCTGATGCTCGTGGAGCACGCCCTTCTCGTGGCGCTCGCACAAGTCCTGGAGTGGACGAGTGATGATTACGTCTCTTTTATTTTTTACACCTTCAAGAAACCTAATTGGCAAACGCCAAGAGGCACTCAACTCTGTACGACTGCAGCAAATCCAGGAAAAGATTCAGCCTTTCCACGACGTCATCCTCTTCCCGCCTGCACTGAGGACATGGAAGCAAAGCGATGTTTACTTCCCGTTGACACGTTGAGATTGGGAGATTGCGCCTTGTTACCTGCTGAGCCGCTTTATCCGAGAGCACGGCAAATTCCACCGATAGACTTTTGAGAGACTGACACAGACGGCTCCATGTACTCTGTGACGAGGCCAGCGACGGAAGGGACGACGTGTCGGAGCTCAGCGTGCTGTGGAGAAAAAGATGACAAAAATGAATTTTCCAGACCAATGAAATTACGCTTGTGCAAGAACAAAAAAATACCTGAGCTCCCTGCCAAACATGAGGAGGTCACTGGCGTTCCCCTTGGAACGCTCGGCGATCCTCTCGGCTCGCTCGCGCAGCTTGCAGAAGCTGTTGTGGATGTTCTTGATCAGCTCTCTGCTCACCGAGAACTGTGCCTGGATGTCGGCAGGGAGGTATTCCTGGGGAAACGCGCCAAATATCCCATGAGCTTTTGCCGGGAAGCCGCCAGGTCTTTCAATGAATTCACAAACCTTTGCCAGAGTTGCGTTTTTGTTTGTCATGAACTCGTCGCCTGTTTTCTTGTAACCATCACGCAGCCTTATCTGGACATCCTGTTTGTGAAGCGTGTTGAAAATGGAGCGGGCGAGGGGGGGAATAAGGGACAATGAATGACTGGAAGTTGCCATGGCGGTATCACTCCTCGTTTTGCAGAGCCAGCAAAGTTTGGACAAAGGAAAAGGCATACAGAGCCGCTGAAGGTGAAGAAGGTCTTGACCAGCTCATCCTCTGAGAAGAAAGGGTGCTGCGCCACCAAGTTGAGGAATCTGCCCAGCGCGCGCCTCCTCGCCTCGATGAAATCCCGCTCGGAAACCGACGTCAGGACTGCGGCAAAAAGCCTTTGTTTCATTACAGGTCTCAGCAAGTAATATTAAGTGCTTTGCTGGGCTGTGTGGCCCAACAAGTTAAGGATATGAAAAGGAAATGGGTTACATCGCAATCAAACTGTCAAGATGGACATCCTGTTTTGTTGAAGGAGTGGAGAATGTGGAGAGTTGACACACTGTACCTCCTTTCAACATTCTTTTGGGCGGAAGCGAAGGCACAACTCTGTAGGCGAATTTCTGAAGCAGGATCTCGTGGAAGACGTCGAAGTCGCTGTAGCGTCGATAAACGGACATTTTGTAACGCTGGAGGGAAAGACAAAAAAAAAAAAAATTGTCAGACATTGGATGCAAAAAAATTGTCAGAGATTGGATGCAATGTGGTTGTTTGCGGTTAATTTCATTTCAGTGCATTTCAAGAGCCCAATGGCAGTATCGTGCAAAAGTCAAGAACAAAATATTCAGATGGGTGCACGAACTGAGCCAAACTGTTAATTAACGTAAAAACAATTATGATACAGTATTTTGTCTTATTGATCTATTTGCTGACGAGCAGACGGACAGTGTCATTGGGATTGTGAATGCAGTATAGCAGTGGTCCCCAACGATCGGTCTGCGGACCGGTACCGAGCCACACAAAGACAGACCTGCGAGCTGTGAGCAAATTTACTCCATCGGATGTGGCGGAAAGATGTGCGGGACTCTAGCCAATCTGAATCGCCCTTCTAAAATTGCTTTGCAAGTTGAAATAAACAGAATCTGCCATTAAATGAAAGAAGAATCAGCAAAGAGAAAGTAATTGTAACAAATTGGACAGGTAAACGCGTAGCTGACGGGCAGCCGTGACTTCCGAAGATGAAGCTATTTGACAAGGGAAGTTCCCCCTTAGTGGTATCGCGAGGAGGAAGCTGTTGTGCATGGTATGTCGTCAAAAAACAGGCAATTCAAGAAAGCTGTTAAATCATTTGAACAAGTGGCACCCAAGCGATCATGTGGAAAGCATGAAAATGCGACAAGTTTGCACAGCCTGCCCACCACGTCAACATTAGCAGTTTAGTCGCTAATAACTAGCCGGCAGTAACTGGGTGAAAGCAGCAATCGATCGTGTCATCTTTTGATCAGTAGCAATGATCCTAACGATGTACGGAAGATCATCACGTAAAAATTATTTCCGATTTGTCCATTTATTTATTACTCATTGTGTTATTTTATTTTATTCTACATTTGTTGTACAGTAGAATAGCACTGTTTGAAATGAATGACAAAAAAAAAAAAAAACTACTGAATGAAATGTTTAATTACTCTATAATTATTTTTGTTGTCAGTACCAGTGTTTGAAAACTGGAAATTCAAAAGTCGTGGAAAAAAAGAAGGAATAGCATGTACTTGTCTCAACTGGTCCGTGACACAAAAAAGTTGGGGTCCACTGCTGGACAGTAGCAGTGATACCATAGTGATCTAAACGTAATGTATTATACATTATATCCTTCATTTCATTTTCTGGCTTTTTATAATGTAACTTTGGCACACGTGTGGATTTACATTTTTAAAAAAACACTCGAACAAAGATGTAACTAGTCAAAAAGCTAAAGCTATTTACTTCCGACAGTTCAATCGCTTCCTTACCAGGGTGGTGACCTGGTACTCCACATGCTTGAGGAACAGGCCTTTCTTCTCCGGTATGAGCTCCACCTTGACCGCATCTCTGTTCAGCAGCCTGTCCAGGTTTAGGGACAGCGTCAGCACGTCCTGCTCAGCTTCCTGCATCCTCAGCGCGCGCAACTCACTTGGCTCCCCCAGCTGAGGCTTTGGAAACTCTGGAACGCACACAGCCGCACCCCCCCTCAACTTCTAATATTTACACGAACGCGGCTACAAACTACGCTACTCCTGTACTCAGCTATAGTGAAGCAATGCCTCGCATGTAAGGAATGCCGCTATCTCACATATTGGACAGAATACGTGCGGGCGGGACTGATCTTTCATTCACCACATCCCCATGCATTCTGATATGGCTAAGAATTGAATCTAATCTCCTGCAAAAAAATTCTGAAAACTGGTTCTTGCACACGGAGGAAGTTTCAGGCAGTTGGCCGTTATATAGACCACACCTGAAATAACAGAGAGGGCCTTAAATAATACCACAAAAGACTTGACGCAACCCTGGCAAATGGCTACCGACAGTCTGTGTGTGTGTGTGTGTGTGTGTGTGTGCGTGTGTGTGTGTGTGTGTGTGTGTGTGTGTGTGTATTGAAACTTGCACTATTTTATAGGAGAAGTCAAGTCAAATCTGATTAAGATTGTGTTCGTGGAATATTTATTAAGCATAAAAATCCACTTGTTTTTATCCATCACAGGGGGGCGGCCATTTTGCCACTTGCTGTCAACTGAAAATGACATCAGAGTGCCTCCGAGTTCATTCAGGTAACAACCAATCATGGCTCACCTGTTTTCTGTGTTTGGTCATGTGACATGTGTAAGCCAAGCCGTGATTGGTTGTTATGTGAGACCTGATCAACTGTGATTTCAGTCAACAGCAAGCGCCAAAATAGCCACCCAAAGAGACAGATTTTAAAAATAAATAAACCTTTTTGATTCCCCCATTCCCTCCATAAACACACACACACACACACACACACACACACACACACACACACAAACTGGTATTTAAACAGGGGTGTAATACCCTTTCTCCACCACACTGTATGTGGTCGCAAAATGAGCCACCAATAACCTTAGAGGGGATGGCTCAAATGACCCGTGAACAACCAGAAGAGTGACCAAACTACTCATTCAGCAAGACATTCACTTTTCACATCCTTATCCACCTTTTATGTAGTTCTCCAAGACTTTGGGACCCGGCTGCTTTCCTTGCTGGGCGGCAGCGATTAAAGCGAGCGCTTTGTAGAGCGACAGCTTGCTCAGGGATCCATCGGCGCCCGCGTCAACGTGTTGGGCGATCTGAGAGTGGGACCAAACAAAGAGGGTCAGCGACAAACACGTCACCGTCCCACGAGTTATAATGTGGTTGCAAAGGTGTGCACACCCTCTTGTAACTGTAATGTGGCTGTGTTCAGAATTAACCAATCACATTGAAACGCATTGAATGGGAGTCAACCATGGGACCACTCAATTGCGCCTGATGAACCTCAAATGAATTTCAGATGTTCTAGGAGGCTTTTCCTGACTTTTTTTTTCTTCTTCTAGCAGAAGCCTGAAACATGTGTGCACATTGACTGCCATTTCCTGTCGTTTATAATCCCCTCCTCCAGTCTAAGGCACCCATTTCTGAAGAAAAACAGTCCCACTGTACTTAACCTTTTGGAATCATGGCCATAAAGTTCAACCTTGGTTTTCATCAGACCGTGACACATTTTCCCCTGTATTGGTATTGGCAATTTTGCTGTGTTCTGACAGCCATTTGACCTGAGTTTGAATGGGAAACATCTAAATTGGACACAAAGGAAATAGCAGCATTTGATGACAGAAATAGTAGGAGCGATGTAAAGAGCAACCCGAAAACAATTCTCATGACAATGACAACAAGGTTCAGTGGACCTGAAGGTAGGTCATGAACTTGAACAAGGGTACAACACACTAAATTACAGGATGCAAACCACTCATTAGCAAGAAGAATAAGAAGGCCAGAATCTAACAAAAAGTACAAAGAGGAGCCTTAAAGAGTTGTGTGGACTGATGGGATGGGAAGAAGAGCCGTAATAAAAAGCCACAAAACATTTAAGCCACAGTGCTTGCTGCATATAATAACGACATTGTATAGCACCTCACCTGGGTTTGAATTGCCTTGGACAGTTTCGTGCTTTCGAGTAACCTTTGAAACACTTCACCCAGAACTCTCTCATCGTTTGGGCAGCAGACGGCCTCGTACACCTCTCTGTAATAAGAAGGAACTGAGCCTGCAAAGGAAAAGACGATGGTTAGATTTTAAACAAGTGAACAAAAATTAACAATCTGCCCTTCAAACCATCTGTGTTTTATGGCTGCCGACAGTGTGTGTGTGTGTGTGTGTGTGTGTGTGTGTGTGTGTGTGTGTGTGTGTGTGTGTGTATTGAAACTTGCACTATTTTATAGGAGAAGTCAAGTCAAATCTGATTAAGATTGTGTTCGTGGAATATTTATTAAGCATAAAAATCCACTTGTTTTTATCCATCACAGGGGGGCGGCCATTTTGCCACTTGCTGTCAACTGAAAATGACATCAGAGTGCCTCCGAGTTCATTCAGGTAACAACCAATCATGGCTCACCTGTTTTCTGTGTTTGGTCATGTGACATGTGTAAGCCAAGCCGTGATTGGTTGTTATGTGAGACCTGATCAACTGTGATTTCAGTCAACAGCAAGCGCCAAAATAGCCACCCAAAGAGACAGATTTTAAAAATAAATAAACCTTTTTGATTCCCCCATTCCCTCCATAAACACACACACACACACACACACACACACACACACACACACACACAAACTGGTATTTAAACAGGGGTGTAATTCCCTTTCTCCACCACACTGTATGTGGTCGCAAAATGAGCCACCAAGAACCTTACAGGGGATGGCTCAAATGAACCTTTAACAACCAGAAGAGTGACCAAACTACTCATTCAGCAAGACATTCACTTTTCACATCCTTATCCACCTTTTATGTAGTTCTCCAAGACTTTGGGACCCGGCTGCTTTCCTTGCTGGGCGGCAGCGATTAAAGCGAGCGCTTTGTAGAGCGACAGCTTGCTCAGGGATCCATCGGCGCCCGCGTCAACGTGTTGGGCGATCTGAGAGTGGGACCAAACAAAGAGGGTCAGCGACAAACACGTCACCGTCCCACGAGTTATAATGTGGTTGCAAAGGTGTGCACACCCTCTTGTAACTGTAATGTGGCTGTGTTCAGAATTAACCAATCACATTGAAACGCATTGAATGGGAGTCAACCATGGGACCACTCAATTGCGCCTGATGAACCTCAAATGAATTTCAGATGTTCTAGGAGGCTTTTCCTGACTTTTTTTTTCTTCTTCTAGCAGAAGCCTGAAACATGTGTGCACATTGACTGCCATTTCCTGTCGTTTATAATCCCCTCCTCCAGTCTAAGGCACCCATTTCTGAAGAAAAACAGTCCCACTGTACTTAACCTTTTGGAATCATGGCCATAAAGTTCAACCTTGGTTTTCATCAGACCGTGACACATTTTCCCCTGTATTGGTATTGGCAATTTTGCTGTGTTCTGACAGCCATTTGACCTGAGTTTGAATGGGAAACATCTAAATTGGACACAAAGGAAATAGCAGCATTTGATGACAGAAATAGTAGGAGCGATGTAAAGAGCAACCCGAAAACAATTCTCATGACAATGACAACAAGGTTCAGTGGACCTGAAGGTAGGTCATGAACTTGAACAAGGGTACAACACACTAAATTACAGGATGCAAACCACTCATTAGCAAGAAGAATAAGAAGGCCAGAATCTAACAAAAAGTACAAAGAGGAGCCTTAAAGAGTTGTGTGGACTGATGGGATGGGAAGAAGAGCCGTAATAAAAAGCCACAAAACATTTAAGCCACAGTGCTTGCTGCATATAATAACGACATTGTATAGCACCTCACCTGGGTTTGAATTGCCTTGGACAGTTTCGTGCTTTCGAGTAACCTTTGAAACACTTCACCCAGAACTCTCTCATCGTTTGGGCAGCAGACGGCCTCGTACACCTCTCTGTAATAAGAAGGAACTGAGCCTGCAAAGGAAAAGACGATGGTTAGATTTTAAACAAGTGAACAAAAATTAACAATCTGCCCTTCAAACCATCTGTGTTTTAGACTGCATGTCCTCTTTGGGTGGCAGGTGAGTTGGAGCCTACCCTGTTGAAATTCAAACCCACAATCACAGTACACCTACGGACAATTTAGTCTTCAATGAAAATTTGGAATGTGGGAGGAAGCCCATGCAAGAACGAGGACATGCAAATTACAAACAGGAAAGCCAGAGCCCAGATTTGAACCCAGGAGCTGGACGTGGTAACCATTCCATCATCGTGTTCTGCCTCATCATCAGAAATCATATCGTGACTTAGACCTCAGCATGTGACAGTTGTGACTTAGTTTATGATCAACCCGTTCATGGTGGCTCAACTCGCATAATTTCACTTTTATTTTCACTTAAATCCTGGCATAAAGTGCACAGTTAGCTTTCCCCCCGCAACTGCATTTTATGTAAAATAGCCTAAAACATCAATTTGTGCAATGGAATTATTACAATCATTTGGCTTCAACTGCGCACCAAATTAACATCACCTTTTAACGAAACGGCATCAAAACGTTATCGGTTTACTAATTTGTTTTTGTCAGTAACGTGCAGGTGGAACAAAAATACAAGTTCAAAACACCGACTTCTTGTCGTTACTTCAACCGAGTGACCCCACGCCCAACGCAATCGTTACAACTAACTTTAGCTTCGCCGGTTCTACACACGCTGCAAAAGTAAAAAAATAGTTTCGAAGTTGCAAAAGAGCGCAAAAAGAGAACGACGCGAGGACTAAATGTACATAGCGTACCTTCATTGATCTCTTCAGCCATGGCTCGGACTGTCATGTGAGCGCAAGAGCACCTCCATGTGATTTCCTGCAGAAGCGAAAAAAAAGTCATTTATTTCTTAAAGTTGTAGTAGGCTGCTTCTGGTGTAAAGTCCATACGACTAATGGCCACAATAAAGTGTAAGGCTGTCAGCTGTGACGACAAACGTTTTATGAAGTTTTAAAATGGTCTTTGTGAAAGCGTTTGTAGCTAATGCATCCAATCGTATTTATTCCATATGAAGCGGGTTTGCAAATAGCTTTCATACTTATCAATGGCGGATTTCTGTCTTCTGTATGTCTTCGGGCAGTAGGCAGGGGACACTCAGAACCAGTTGCCAGCCAATCGCAGGGCACACAGAGACGAACAACAATCCGCACTCACACTCACACTTAAGGACAATGTGTTGTGTTCAATCCGCCTGTCATGCATGTTTTTGGAATGTGGGAGGAAATCGGAGTACCCGGAGAAAACTCACGCAAGACCGGGAAGAACATGCAAACTCCACACAGGGAGGCTGGAGCCGGAATCGAACCCTGCACTTCTGCACTGTGCGACTGACGTGCTAGCATCACCGGGCCACCCACTATAAAATTATATATTTTAAAAACACAATTTTTATCAAGCACAGTATGATTGATTTTGTAACAGTAAATTAAAAAAGACGTTGAATTATACTTCAGAATTAGGATAATCATGGGGCGGGCCCGGGTTAACGATGTCACAAAACGTTTCTACTGTACTGTATAGTGAAATAGTGCTGATCTCGTCTGAATTTTATCCCAAATCTAGGCCTGTTTAGGTGAACACAAAGTTTATATGGTACAGTATTTCTGTTGCATGAATGGCAACAGGTGGATACTGAGATTTACTGAATCTACTGCCATCTAGTGGAGGAATATTTTATTGTTCTGCCTGTCAACTACGTCTAGTGTAGATTGATGAAGCAAGATACATTATTTGAAGGAAATAAAACTATTTTATACCTTAATGTGAAATTGGATAATTTCCTGCGACACGCCGGATGATCTCTCATGGCACATTGATGTGAAAAAGAATTCCACATCGTTATGTTTGCACCAATTTAACAAGAGAATTTACACCTGCAGACTAGTCTTTTTTTACACAATAAAAGGATACCAAATTATGGCTTGTCACATTCTGAACTAGTCAGCCCCTAACCCATTTCGTTTGGGTCGCAGACAGCTAAGTTTCCTCGTAACTTCCAGTGGCGTGTGAACTGCCTCTCTTGATATAATGTCACAGCTATAGTAAATACATTTGTTTTGTGTTTTATTCTATAATAATTTGACTGAGCAAAGTGCAACTGTTCCATTTGTCAGCATCATTTACATAATTTCCTAAAAAGAAAACAAACCATTGATGTTCCCCTCATTTACAAAGAGATCAAAACTGACATACGAGTCACGTAATTTGAATCCTAAATTTTGCTGTATCCATTTTAGTCGAGGGCAGTACAATGGCCTAGTTGTTTATCTGCCTCACAGTTCTGATGTTCAGGTGTCAACTTCGACTCCTGCCCACCCTGCAGAAATGCATGTTCTCCTCCAGTGGCGTGCTGAAATCCAAATGTCGTCAAAATACAATACATTTATTTATATAGCGCTTCCACGACAGCTGTCGCTGGAACAACGCGCTTTACAGAGCATTTAACTGAAAATAATACAACACAAAACGTGACATCAAATATTAACAATTAATACAGCCTTTGCTGCTCCCACAACAGTTCAACAAAATCACAAAAAATATTACACTTCTTTGACAGTCTGTTGTGTTTGTATTTTACAGTTTAATTTTGTCGCATTCAAGTATGTTAATAAATACAGCAATAAAAAAAACAATAACAACAATGAGGATTCGACGTAATGTATTGCTTTTGGGCCGAGATCAAAGAAACTGATCTGAAATTGCCATCAGTACATTTTGGGAAAAATTGCCATTTCTCCGACGGTCCATGAATGTATCTTCATCTCGCAATACGGTAGATTACCTGTTGGTGGCGCTAATGCATCATTTTGGATTGATTAGGGGAGGAGGAAGAGGGGTGGACGTGAGTTGACTTGAGTTCTTGACGATTTGTCAGCTGGCTGAGTGTAGTCCAGAGAGGCTGCGTTTGCGCCAGACTTTAGTCCGGTCGCTTGCTTGTAGAGGCGACCCCGTCGCGCTGGAATTTAAAAGTGCAAGCGACGAATCGCGCAGGCAGCTCCCGACGACTCCACGACGCACAATGACGAGAGAAACAAAAGAGACTTGTTGTTTTCAATCTACCAGCAGCTAAACCGGCTAACATTAGCCGACGTAACTGGGACGACACTGAGACGGGGTACGAGCACTTCAAACATTTATTTTGTGACGACAACACGTTGTAGTTGTCGTTTCGCTAAAGCTAAAGTAAACTTGCTAACTAGTCGCTGGTGATGACTAGCTTACTAGGTGATGCTAACAAGCACTAGCTCGAAACTAGTCTACTACCCATTCGTGAGAGAACAATAACATATCACAAGCTGCTAAATAATGCATGGATGCCCTGTGGAGGATGCCATTTTGAGTGGGTTGTAGTCTGTTATATATATTTTTTATACGTCAGCTGCTTTTCAATGCGTTTCCCCCTCTGACAGACTTATCCGGAAGGACCCAGTGTGCATCCTCGTCGACCTAAAGCCGAACTGGGTTGACTGTCGGTTACCCATGGCTGCTGTGGTTGGTTACACGCCACCGTGGTGGGTCAACCTGCTGCACCGACTTCCACGTTTCAGCTTCAACTTAGAGCAAACGAGCAGCGATTTTCAGCCGTGGAAGTGGACGTATCAACAGGTACACATCCATGAGCATCCATTTGCCATGATTTGATTGATTTATGGGTGGATTTTTATTTCCAACTCGGGATGAAAGAGATTCCTTGGCGACAAAGGACATGTGAGCACCTGTTATTCTGCTTCACCTTTTGAGTCCAGTCACCATCTGTTGACTTACTATATCCGTCTTTCGGCCTATTCCAGCCTGAAGACCAGCTGGTATTGTCTAATCCAGGCCAAAGCAACCTTTGACTTGGGCGGGGGTCTCCTGGCCATTGTTTTCTTTCTCTACATTTGGGCAATTTCTTGAGGAATGATTGTTGAATTTAAAGGTTGAATTATCACTACATTCAGGCAGTTGAAGAAGAGATCTAGGAGCGCTTCACTATCTATTTCTTCGTTGTTTCCTCACTTGACATTTGGTCTTCATTTGTTCACGGTCATACTTCCCCCTTTTTAAGTGTGATTCAGATCTTGATTCCGATTGAAACAGGAAGACACTACCCAGACATGCGTCATCATCTTATTGTCTTTGTACTGACAATCATACAGTGAGTACTCTCAGAGGTGGATTTAAGAGTACACAACAAGCTTTTGTTTGGCTTCTCACATCTGCCAGTTTCAAACGGAATTGGCACCTTCTGACTTTGTTGTCCAACGCCCAGAGGTATCATTAAAATTGAAATCACTACCTCAGCATTCCAAATGTGAAAAGTAGTAACCGCTACATTTACTGAAGTAGCTTTTTGGATCAATCATACTTGTGGTGTAGTTTTAATGTAGCATACATTTTATACTTTTACTTGAGTATATTAAACGAAGATAAATTACTTTTATTCCGTTACATTGACCAAAGGAAAAGTCTCTCCAGCTCCACACAGTAGTACTTTACACAGTGACTGATTACAATCATACTTGTGGTGTAGTTTTAATGTAGCATACCTTTTATACTTTTACTTGAGTATATTAAAAGAAGTTAAAATATTTTATTCCGTTACATTGACCAAAGGAAAAGTTTCTCCAGTTCCACACAGTAGTACTTTACACAGTGACTGATTGGAATGAAGCATTGCAGAAATAACGTCTGGGTCATTTGCCTGGTGAGAAAATTAAGATGTTCACGAATGTAGTTGATTGAAGATCATTTCTTGTGGCTGATTTATTTTTATTTAAAGTGATATGATAAAATGAGGGCAATGTCTATTTGCATTACTGTATGTATTGTATTGCTCTAGTTTGACTTTGATGCTGACAAAAAAAAAAAAGGTTACCACTTGGTATGCAATTTTTTTTTCGCTCTTATCATTGTAATTATTTGGAGCATGGGTGTGTCTCGCTCATTTGGAGTGTGCACAAGCTCCCTGAAAGTACATCCACGCACCGCCAAAAATTTAAAAAAATTACCCCCTGATCAGTTGTGCTCTAAAACGTGCCCCAGTGTGGGACAAATAAAGGATATCTAATCTAATCTAAAACTGCCAACACCCCTGAATTTCTAATCCACACACACACACACACACACACACACACACTTGAGTCACATTCTAAACTGTACCCTTACTTGAGTAATTTTTGATGTCTCTACGCACTTAATGATACATTTTTTAGTACGAACCAATATTAGCACAATATTTTTGCGGTTGGAGCAATTCATACACTCTGAGTGGCATTTCTCTCCCGAACACTCAGGTAGTCCATTATCCTGACATTGTCGATTCAATGGAATCCATTATAGCTCCGTTACTCTATTGTCGACAGTCCATCCTGTTAGTTGGAGGTGTGGCGCTTGCCTGTCTGGCTCTGGACCTGCTGTTCCTGCTCTTCTACTCCATTTGGCTGTGCTGTAGGCGCAATAAAAACCCGGACCAACCCTCGGCCGACTGCTGCTGCACCGCCTGGTGCGTCATCATCGCAACACTCGTGTGCAGGTAAGCACAAGACAGCCCTTGACGACGTCACGCAAAGCGATTGAAGCGCGACCCATGTTTCCGCAAGACACGCGCACTGACGCCAATTATTTTCCTGCTGGGTTTCTTTTTGGTCAAAGTGTGGGATTGACCATCTGGACTTGTGTTGTTGAGCATTTGTTTCCTGGTTTCCGCCATATGTTGATGGGCCGTTAGTGAGCCATCATAGCTGATTCAGCAATGCACAAAAAAGGGCTGCAGGACCCTGATGAGGACATGTGAGGGCTGTATCACAATCAAGTCTGTCCCTCCATCCGGTTGCTATGAAAGGCATGTGCCCGCCCACCCCATTAATAGTAAACAAGATACACAGGAAGCATTTGTGTGCAGTTTCCCCCAATATTAGAAAAGCTGTCCATATTTTCCATAATTTCACCGCGGTTGGGGGTGAGGGGGTTCTGTTTGTTTTTGCTCTTGTCCACTCATTCCACAATGCAGAACATGAGAGGAAGAGATTAGCAGGCCAGGAAGAGGGAATACACAGTGATGTACACCACTTGTCTGTTCTGACTGACTGGTGCTCATGACATCGCCCCGCTTGATTAGAAACGCCACCGTGCTCTGGATGGATGTCACCAAAATGTCTGAATTGAGAGAAAATTCTTTCAATTCAAATTGTTTCTCTATATTCAGATTATTTGTTCTGATTTCTAACCATTGATTTTTCAGAGGAAATATATTAATAGTTGTAATCTGTTTTACAGTCAAACTTAATGTTAAACGTAATTATAGTTTCATATGAGGACAGCACAAGCATTTTAATTGGAATATTTTCCAAAGCTTAGCAGTGTGAAAACAAGTTAACCTCGGTATCTATATATTTTCTATTGCACTTGTCCTCTAGGTGATCTGGATTTTATCCTTAACATGGATGACTGAGAATGTTAAAAAAAAAAAAAAAACAACAATTGGAATTTTTATTGTGACAGAAAATGAAAAATGACTCACGATATTGAAGAATATGACAAATGCTCACTGAGGCTGCCTGGCTTTAACTTAAGAGATTCTGCCTGCCTCTTTTGCTCCCGTAAATCAACCCATAGACGAATTGTACATTATACTACAGAAAATAACATCCCAGGCCCTCCCCCATCGCTGCTTTCCTGCAACCGGAGGCCTCTCTCTCTCCAAATACGATCTGATAACCCAGCCAGAGGGCCGCCTTTGTCAGAACTGAGGCCTTCGGGGCGTACATACATAAGGGTCCGTTCTGCTGAGTTTCCATGGTTCAGCGTCGGGTGTTTGAGGCGTCTGAACTGACCGGGTTAATGTGGGGTTCAACCCCCATGTCCACTGGCTCGCCACCTCCCTCTCTCGCTCTTGTCTCCGCCGTTTGTCTTTTCAAGCAAATCCCAATCCCCCCCACACCAAACCCTTCTCACCACTCTGTCTCTTCCTCCCTTTCCTTATTCTCTTTGTCAGCGCCGGAATTGCTGTGGGTTTCTATGGGAACGGCGAGACTTGCGACGGAGTGAATCGGCTGACTTATTCCCTGCGCCACGCAAATCGCACAATCACCGGTGTGCAGAAGCTGGTGAGGCTTTGATTAGTGAATATATCACTTATTATTTTCCTACTTCCGCCACAAGACCTGTTGTGCGTTCCCTCATCCAACTTGATTGTTTGTCCCCTGGTCGGGTGCAGGTTTCCGACGGCACGTCCTCACTGAACGGGATAGTACATGGCAATCTGAAGGTGCTTGAGGTGCAGTACTCCCAGCACAGAGACTCCCAGTCAATCATCCGAAATCTGAAGGACCAGCTGGACAAGCTGGTCGGGCAGATGGTGAAGATCCCCTTCTGGGACAACAGTAAGAACCCAGTCTCTCTGGAGGAGCTGGCTGTCAAGATTGAAGTGTATGACTGGTACAGGTGAGCTGATCAATAACATGAAAAATGAAGGAAAACATCTTTTGAGAGATTTACCATTGTAGTCGTATGTGCAAATGTTTGTCCACTTACACCACCGCCTCAGTATCGCGCGTTGGGGGTCTCATTAGCTTGAGTCGTGTGGGCGACAAGGTGGTTGAGGTAATGAGCACAGATGTTGTCTGGGTCTCATTTTTTTCTTTGCCTTTCCACCCTGACGGTTACTCAGTAAATCATCCTTCACATCTGTTCATTTCTCTTCCTCGTTTGCTTTGGTATTATCTCGCCTTTGAAACTGATGAAAGAAAGGGGTAACAATGACAGATGAGGATGAAGACAAATTCGAATGTCATGACACCGTTGACCCGACTGCCGTGTGTTCCAATTATTTTTGGGGGAGAAAACAAAATGTGTGTGCATACAAACTGAGGTTTTACAAGATCATTTCTGGATTGAGAAAACTTGTTACGGCTGCTCAAAGGAAAAGTATCAGCCTCCTCATTTTTGGGCTTAATCCTCACAGGTGGCTGGCCTATCTCTGTCTGCTGCTCTTCGATGTCCTCATTTGTCTGCTGGTGCTGTTCGGCCTCATTCGCAACTCCAAGGGGACGCTCATCGGGTGAGTCGCTACACAAGAGGCACAATGACGGTGACACTGCAAGTGATTTGTGGCCACTGACACAGAAGGACCTGGAACGACGCTACATAAAAGTCCCCAACTCACATTATCTATGTAGTCAAGTCAAGATCTTTCATGCCCGATAAACTTGACGCCACTCGCGTGCGGCTGGTAAACTGAAGACACTTTGTGGCGCGCACACACTCCCCTGCCACTTTTATATTTCGAACAGTTATGTATTGTCTCACAGATTTATTTAAACATGGAAAGCTATGACTTACTCAATAACATGAAAAATGAAGGAAAACATCTTTTGAGAGATTTACCATTGTAGTCGTATGTGCAAATGTTTGTCCACTTACACCACCGCCTCAGTATCGCGCGTTGGGGGTCTCATTAGCTTGAGTCGTGTGGGCGACAAGGTGGTTGAGGTAATGAGCACAGATGTTGTCTGGGTCTCATTTTTTTCTTTGCCTTTCCACCCTGACGGTTACTCAGTAAATCATCCTTCACATCTGTTCATTTCTCTTCCTCGTTTGCTTTGGTATTATCTCGCCTTTGAAACTGATGAAAGAAAGGGGTAACAATGACAGATGAGGATGAAGACAAATTCGAATGTCATGACACCGTTGACCCGACTGCCGTGTGTTCCAATTATTTTTGGGGGAGAAAACAAAATGTGTGTGCATACAAACTGAGGTTTTACAAGATCATTTCTGGATTGAGAAAACTTGTTACGGCTGCTCAAAGGAAAAGTATCAGCCTCCTCATTTTTGGGCTTAATCCTCACAGGTGGCTGGCCTATCTCTGTCTGCTGCTCTTCGATGTCCTCATTTGTCTGCTGGTGCTGTTCGGCCTCATTCGCAACTCCAAGGGGACGCTCATCGGGTGAGTCGCTACACAAGAGGCACAATGACGGTGACACTGCAAGTGATTTGTGGCCACTGACACAGAAGGACCTGGAACGACGCTACATAAAAGTCCCCAACTCACATTATCTATGTAGTCAAGTCAAGATCTTTCATGCCCGATAAACTTGACGCCACTCGCGTGCGGCTGGTAAACTGAAGACACTTTGTGGCGCGCACACACTCCCCTGCCACTTTTATATTTCGAACAGTTACGTATTATCTCACAGATTTATTTAAACATGGAAAGCTATGACTTACTGCACCATGCAAGACGCTGATTGGTCGCCATATTAGGTATAAATTCTGACTTTACAAAAATACCACTGGCCAATAGGTTTTTGAAATGCACAGCATTTATCTACACCGCAAACTATAACTATTAATGAGCGTAATGATAAAATAAATTCTAACAGGTTCAATCAAACACAGACAAAAAGTACTTTGGTTCCTTAGCATTGTCAAGAATTCCTTTTTGGCTATTCCAACCCCCCACTAAATAATACCTGAGTCATAATAGCAAAATGTGTACAGAGATGTACAGGCAGAATTATTTTATCAGGTGCATGACTGATCAAATATAATTACGATCGATTTTTAATAGTTTGGTTCACCTCATACTCCTTAGGGTGTGCTTGTTTGGTGTTGTGGCTCTGGTGGTCAGCTGGGCCTCACTGGGGCTGGAGTTGGCTCTCTCTGTGGTGAGTGTCCGCTTCTGATGTCAATATCACACGAAGGTGGTGGTGGATTTCTCTTTTTTTTTTTTTCTTTTTTTTTTTTTTAACTGGTCTGACACCCCCCCAACCCCCTTCCCTTCACATTCCCCTAGACCTCCAGCGACTTCTGCGTGGCTCCTGACACATACATCACCCAAGCGGTTGCCAGCTATAGAGTAGTCCATAAAGGTATTAGTCACTCACTTGTGATGATTTATGGGCCCTATTTTTTTCACTGTGATGGTTTTTTTTTTTTTTTTTTTTTTTTTTGGGGACACTCGTGAGTGAACCGCCAAGTCTCGCCCCCCTGCGCCGCTCTCAATGCTGTGATTATTGTGCAGCAGTGAAGATGGCATTGTTCTAAAGAGCAAGGCTTGTCCGCCGCTCATAAAAAGCCTCTCAAAGTGGCTGCCAACAGTGTTACAGGGCAACTGGCTGCTTTTTCAGGCTGAATAGAAGCGTCGATGCTGCAGCTCGTTTTAGTAATTGCCTAAATGATGGCATGGTTGTAAAATGGCAAATTTTACAGGGAGCTCTGTGCAGAGTGGATGAGGCAAGTAAGGTGAATGAAGTCAGGGAAGGGATTATCAAAATAGATTATGAAGAGAACAGCAAGTACACTTCCCTCTCAAAAAAAAGTATTGGTGTAATTGTCCCCTTCACCTCTAAAGGCTTCATGACTGACGAATACAATCTTTTTCTGTGCTTTGACTTTGACAGGAAAGATAGTATTTGAATGGTTTCATGACTATTTTTCCAGCCTATCTCTTCTGCTTTCCTCCCACTCTGCAGTCGTGTCAGTCAGCTAACAGGCTCATAATCCATATGAGTAATGGCTAAGCCTTTTCACAATTGGAAGTGGTTGCATATTAAAACAAGCCTCAAAGACAAAAACCGCATTTGACGCTGCAGGGAACGGGCCGATTAATTTTTTTGCCTGTTTATTGTTCTGCATCACTCAGCCAATGTCAAAACTAGAGCACAAGTATTCCCTGTGTATTTTCTCATCCATCACAAAAGCTTTGTTCATAAGCGCAACACAACAATTGCGTTGACATCACAATGCGAGTATGCCACATTTATATCTTCGTTTGGTTTGGTGGCCGAGAACATGTTTTCATGCCCCGGTCGAGCTGACTTGAGTAACTGTGCTGATCTTGATACTGTGTTCTTGTGGGTTGAGACCTTGGCAAACAGACATGCTCCATATCATCTCGAACTTGTCAGGACTTTTTAGCCCCCAGTGGAAACAAACAGCGTGTTCGACTATCTTCCTTTTGTGGGACACAAAATGTAAGACGCCACAAGTGTGGATGCACATCCTGTGACTTAAACTGATGTGCCGATTGAAGAATAGAAAGTACTAGCACATGTATTCGCTCTTATCACTTTGTCGCCCGTTTCCACAAGCTTTCCATCAGTATGCGAAATCTGGTTTCATCTTGTCTGTTTTATCCACAGAAATCCTCGAGTACTACCTAAGTTGCGATTTGGAGCTAACCAACCCCTTCCAGCAGGTTTGTTGCTTCTCACAAATCCGATGTAGTTTGAAGCTTCTCACGCTCTTTTCCCCTGTTTTGCTGACGTCATTGAAATCCCCGCAGACGGCATCAAAAAAGCGCATTTTTCTGTACAATGTGGGGAATTTGCTGCAAGCGGGTGCAATGAATCACTCCCAGTGCCTCAGACGATGATGCACAAAGACAACAATCCCATTCTGCGGCATTTCCTGCGTCTTGCTTCGCCGGGTTTGTGTTGGAAGCCAAAAATGGGACGTCCCTTCCACAACAAATCTATAGTTTGACTTCATGAATAAATGAAAGCCTTTTGAGTACTTGTAGACATCTATTGTTAGCGCCACTGCTGTGAAGAAAAAGATGCTACAGTGCCTCCGATGTCTATCTTGCATCTATAACCTGTCATCATGCTTTCACATGATTTATAAATGGACGCAGCACTTGAGTATAAAACTAAAAATGTGAAAGTATAACAAATGTTCTCTTTCAGAAGCTATCTGTGAGCCACAAAGCGCTCGTCGAGATGCAGGACGACGTGCTGCAGCTTCTGAGCTCCGCCACTGGGGAATACAATCTTACTCGGGTAGGTCTCGGTTATACTCCTGACTGGACAGGCACGTCCATTTTGTGGCTTATCATTGTCATTCGTGATGATGGGCAATGAAGCGCAGCGCACTTGCTGACTGCCCACCTGGGGGGGCCTCGCATTATGTCCATTTAGCTACATTAGCCATTCGTTCAATACAACGCCGCATTATTGTCCTGGCTGTGTGTTGACGGGCACAAAGTGGAGCTCATTTCACTCTGCATTTCCCACGCACAGAAATGTGCTGAGCTGGTAGAAGCATTTGTGCGAGGCAAACAGACACGTTAGATACTAGAACAGTTGCGAGGACGGCGTGACGGGTAAATAAAATACAAATACAGTTGCCTTGCGATAGGAGTGCTTTGTTGACAGCGGCTCAACTCACTTGACAACAAATGGCAGTTTGTCAAGATAGAATTAGTCAGTATGACTCAGGCTGTTAATTGCCACTCTGTTTTGAAGTTTGTCGTATTAATCATCAAACAGAATTACACAATGTCTATAATGCGAACACGTAATCGGAAACGCCAAATGCAGCATTAGCATTATGTGGCGCTGTTCTAACCCTTTAAGAGTTGGATATTGGAACACAAGCGGTGCAGCAATACATGGGGCCAGACAATATAAACAACACACACGTATATATTCATTATCCTCTGCCAAGAATGACTGATATGAATTCGCAGGGCTGTGTGACGGATCAATGTTAATATTTATTGTGATCTTTAGATAGAATGTTCCCACTGTATAGAACTGAAGCATCACCACTCAATTCTTTTGTTTTTGAGCCTTTCTTGGTAGGAAGTCACGTTGATCCACGGTTAAGCTCATTTCTGCATATTTAGAGGGTTTTCTCCCTCCCCTCCCAACCCCCATTGTTCATTTCCAGGCAAGTTTGGAGCAGATCCAGCGGATACTGAACACGACTGAGATCGGCCTTCATCAGCTCACCGCGCTGGTGGACTGCCGCAGCCTGCACTTGGTGAGTGAGCCGCGATACGGAGACTGGCGGACATGCATGGGGGCGCCTCACTCGTGGGAAGGTGGCCCGGCCGGCGCTGATGTGTTGTGACATCGGTGCAGTGCAGCCCAAGTTATATAAAGCCACCTTTCTTCCGTGCTTGCTCATCTGACTCCGCTTGTCCTCTCAAATCACCGTCCTCTCGCTGGACTTCCTGTCCAACTGAAAGCGGCCCGATGATAAGGAGTTGCTCGGTTGCATCCAAATTCCAAAACAGCCAAACCTTCCACCCTCCTGCCGCATTACCAAGCCATGCATGCAGGATGGAGATTGTCGTGTAATGTGGGGGAGTGTTGCGCTTTTTGGATGCTGGTGAGAAAATGTGCTGCTTCCTGTGTGTGCCTGCGCGCCAACTGTGAGCTCAGCGGTTTGACCTAGTTTAAATGCGACATCTAAGAACGAACTGCAGCCTCCGTGTTATGAGCTGATTGTTTCAGTCTTTATGACACTGGTAAAACCGGCGTCGCTGACATGTCCGCAGGACTACGTGCAGGCCTTAACGGGTGTGTGCTACGACGGATTGGAGGGCCTCATCTACCTGCTGCTCTTCTCCTTCGTGACGGCTCTCATGTTCAGCTCCATCGTTTGCAGCGTGCCTCACACCTGGCGCAAGACGCGGTAAAGCACCTCTGAACCACATCTCGAAAACGGCGCTTGTCAAAACTGCTTGAAAGCTTTTCAGGGGAGGTTTTATGGCCACACGCTCCTTTGTACACTTAATAATGATTTATGATGACAAGCCCATCAATTAATTATGGCTTCATAAACATTTATTCCAAGGTCTTATTTTGGAATGGCCGCAGGAAGGACTCGGATACAGTAAATGCAGAGAACCATTTTTGTATACAATTTACCCTTCAAAACACTCGACACCAGCTGCATCCACAGTACTCAGCTCCCCCTCAGCTCTGAAATTGTGACGAGTCGGCCTAAATCTGTCGCAGCCACTGCCAGAGTTGATGTCATCTTCCACAGCGGGAAAGTGGAATGAGTCTTGATGCCTCTGTCCCAGCAACCATGGTCACGTTTCGCCGGAAAGCGTTCACACAAGCCCAGCTGTCCGCCATGTAATTATCAGACCCCTTTGGAGCAATGGGGGGAGGGGGGAGCGTTCATCTGTCTGATCACAGCTGGAGCTTCCTGTTTTAGCAGAGACCGCCTGTTTTCCCCAGTAGTCCATGTTAAGCGTGTTTAGTTTGAAGTGGAAAGTTTGTCTCTCATATTCAATTAAGCTTAAGGTCAAGTTAGAATGTGCTAAATCATCAGATGAAAACATGACTGGTGGAAACTTCACCTTTTGCGGTTTTTGCCTGTTAATACGTGTTGCGCTTGACCCACATGTGAGGTATGTTAGTAAGTGCAAATGATGTGCTTGTAATTTAAACTCTATAGTAGCCAGTGAAGACTACCCATTAGCAACTGTCTGAGAACAAACATAACAAAAGTGACCACGTGGCACCGCTCTGGTTTCCCTTTGGAGTTTTTTTTAATTTTACTTTTTTTTTAAACTGGGGCAGCGGCTCCCTCTGGTGGCGCCTTACAGTGTCTTCATTTCTTGGCAGGTTGGACAATGACAATGACAGTGACTCACTGGGCCGCGGCGGGAGGCAGAACCAAGACAACCTGTACCGCGTCCACATGCCCAGCCTGTACAGCTGTGGCAGCAGCTTCGGCAGCGAGACGTCCATCCGCGCCGCCGCGCATACCGTCAGCAACGCACCCGTCACAGAGTACATGTACGTGGCACTTTGGGTTTTAATCGTGGGGGTCTTTTTTTTCTGTAAGGGCTGCATGCACAACAAAAACAAAGGCCGCAAAAGACAACTTGACATTTATTTAAAATTTCTGAAACACAGTAAAACAATCCATCGGCTTAGTTAAAACATGGCAAACAGTTAAATGTTTTTTTAAAAATTAATTTATAAAATACATTTATCTAATACTTATTTTGATTCTTAATGATTCTCAGGACGAAACAAAACAGGGAAGCAATAGTTTTGGATTTTCTGATCTAGTTTTTTCATTTATTCTTCAGAAATTTTTATGTTCAAACAATTCTGAGATGATTTTTCTCTGTTCACAGCCCCTCCCTTTATTATTATTATTATTTTTTTAATGGCCAGACACCTTTCTGCAAATGGCCTACAGGCTGTTTAAAGCGAATGCACATGATTGAAAAGTAGGCGCTCCAGTCAGTATGTGCAGCTGTTGCACTCCAGCTGTGAAACCAAATAATCTCACGGGTGATGGGGTCAATGGGCATGATCTTCTCTACTAATCTCCACGTAAAAATGCTCCAAATAAATGTTTTTTACGTAGGCTTACATCTACACAACAGTGCATCTTTCCTCACTTTTGACCTCACTGCTTTTCCTCCAGCAGGGCTCAGAACGCCAACTTGCCCAACTCCCGTACGGAAAACACACCCTTGATCGGACGAGAGTCTCCGCCACCCTCTGTGAGTTCAAACCGGCCAATTGGCCTCTTACTACCGACGCACCTTTTCGCCACGTTTCCACCAAGCGCTATGGTTCAGCTTGGTGCATAAAGTCCTGATGCTCTTACCGCAATAGAAAGTTTGCCAAAAGGCAGACAGGTCATTTATTTTGCTGCCGCTTACACATTTTGACAGAAAATATTGATCCAAGCGGTGTTGTTTGGTCGGAACGTGGCTATTTAGAACCCTCATTCTGAAAGATCAGACAATATTCCTTAGTATTTCGAGCAAGTGCAAGGTGACAGTTCTCCGGTTCTCCTTCTAACAGCACCTCCAATCCAAAACCTCTAAAAGCCACCCTCTCCCTCTCCCACCTCCCATCGATGCCTCTGTGTCTGACCTGGACACTGTTTCACATTTCTTCTCTACACTCTCTTGTCGTCTTTTTTTTTTTTTTCTTTTTCCCCCTCCCACTCCCCCTGCCGATCCGTCCAGTTGTATTTGACTCCCGCCCACACTAACAGTGGTCACAGCTGGCAGCTAAAGCCTTCGGACAGCTCCAGATCGTTTTGGTAACCTCGTCTGCTATGCTAACAGGTACACAATATGGCAACTCCTAACCCTGTCCACAGTGACAAACTTTCCCCCACCTGCCAACTTTCCCCCCGAAACCAAACTCGACTCCACAGTGTCCCACCTGATGTTTGTTGCCTGTGGCCCATGACCCCCAGGCTGCATGTTTCCCCTCCCGAATGCGAGCAATGTCCCTGTGGATTATCCCTCTTCCCCGCGCTGTAAATATAATCAACAATTTCATACATTATCACCATGAGACACGTTTTGACATATTTGAGGAGAAGTGACGTAGCAAAATGGCATTATCAGTACAACCCGTGCTGTGGTAATAACAGTTGGAGATGGCGCTACTATAATTTCTTCACAACAGTTAAAACCTGACTTCAAATATGTATTTTTTGTAAGTAACCTGCACACAGGTGCAATCTCAATGTCTTAGAATACCACAAAAGTGTTCATTGACTGCATTAGTTCATAAAATGAAGATCATATTACGCTGTCAGTCATCACGCATATGAATTTCGCTTTTTGAATTGAGCGACTATAAAACGCAGAGTCCACAATATTCCGCTTTAGCGATGCGCCTGTAGGTAAGTTATTCAAAGCATTGTTGCATCCTAAACGTTGAACTGTAGGTAAGTTATTCAAAGCATTGTTGCATCCTAAACGTTGAACGATAAGATTTATATGGAAACAACAACATGACCTTTGCAAGGAGATGTATTATGCATTTTTCTTTTGTGGGTGCTGACAACATTTCCCAGGTATCTTAATAACATGTCTGTGACTTTTCACCTTGTGTCAAAATACCCCAATGATCACAGCACACACCATTTGCAGTCTGGTGTTGAGAGCCAGCCACTGGCAAGGTAGCTGTTCATACATTAAACGGTGTGTTAAGTGCGGTTGTTTAATATCCCACTTGATGGGGCATACCGAAAGCAGAGATGCAAGCGAGCCAGAATATGTCCCCTTAAAAATCCACAGACTATACACACTTCCTTTTCCTAAATTGTGCCGCTTCTGTGTTTGGATCAGTAGTCTCTTGCAGTTTTTCCCAACCTTTATTGAGCCAGGTGTCCATTTTGCATACATTAGAAAAATAGAATCAATCTCACAAAATATCACCCCCCCCCACACCCCCCAAAAAAATGCTGAAATAATGACTCACCACTCTGTGCCTGATATACTAGCAGAAAGCCGTGACTTAAGTTTGTGCTACATGTGGACGCCCAAGTTTATTGTACCTTCTGCTATATAATGAAAGAGCACAAAGGTCTCTCACCTGGTTGGGAAATACTGGCCTACTGCACTCCCCCTGGTGTTTTAGCTTGAAAAGTCACCAGTTTGCAGCCATGATGGGTGGTGCATGTGCAACTTCTGTGTCCCCACCGCACCCCGCCATGATGAACTTTTCTACTCATTGTAAAGAGTTGTGATGCTCGGGAGCGTCTCTCGGTCTCTGAGCAATTCTATTTGACTCATGTTCTGTTGGTGATGTTTTTTTCCATCTGCTTCTCACTCGCAGTACACCTCCAGCATGCGGGCAAAGTACCTCGCTAACAGGCAACCAGAGCCCAACCCCCCCGCGTCAGTTTAGCCGGAACCGGATTCAAATGGCTGACATCTTGAAAGCCACACCGCCTTGTTTTTTGTTTTTGTTTTTGTTTTTGTTTTCCCTCCCCTCTTTATTGGCTTCCTGTTATCATCTCGTTGGAAGATCTTTGGATCGCTCATACTTGGCGCTCACCTTTTAATCCAGATTCTTACCGTCAAATCAGGTGTCAATTTTCTGGAATTGATGAATCCTGTAACCTGACAAAAGGAGCATTTTTTTTTTCTTACCTGAAGTATGAAGACCTTTTACAGAGCAGTGGATCAGTCTCATCGCGATCTTGACTGATTCTACATTTCACAGTGTCTTTGCTACTTGTCTTAACTCTGATGTTTGGGACCAGTCATCGTGCAAAACTCAGAGCTTTTTATTTTATTTTTTTGTTGCTGTTGGAAATCGTTCGACGACACTCGTGAGCTGCCAAGCTGTGGATTTGGAGGATTCAATGAGCTGGCAATACTGGCAAAGAAGCCGTCAATGAGGGAGGAAGAAGACGTGCAAATACTTGAGACGTCAACATACTACTGGAAAACTATTCTCATAATTTCACTCCGCAGTTTTAATTTTCAGGCATGACGACGAAACTCAACTGTGACTTCTCCAAATCTGCCCGGCAGCAGCTAAGGGAGCTTTTGCAATGCAGCCGTTAACAGTTAATGTGAAGTGTGCATTTTTTTTTCTTCTTTTTGTAGAGTTTCAAACATTTTTGCATTGGCAATGCAGCATCTGACAAACAAATGTGTTTTAGCATTTCTAACAAATAGATGACGACGACGAGTTTACGTCCATTGTGCGCCGTCGTATTTTGTTGGCAGGAGAACTTCCAGGCGGTGCCAATCAAACTTTTAAATGTCTTAAATGAGCCTGATTCCCCCTCCCATACCCCCACCCCCTTCCCCCTCTGCCACCCTCAATCATTTTTTATGCTCTGTACACTTGTTTTTGTTTGGCCATTATGTTCTCGCTCTTTGTGTGTCTTTGTTGGGTGATGAACATTTATTGTAAAACAAAAAAACGTACTTTTAAAAATTCCTGACTTTTCAATTTTTTGTTTTGATTTCCGTTTGATTTTTAGAGTCTGAAGCCAGCACATTGTGTTGCTTCATTCATGCGGTAGCTATTTTCATTTTTAATCAGGTTTACTCTCTGAAGTTTTTATACAAACGCTTTAACATGTACATGGGAGAAAACAAACAAACAAAACTGTGGTTGTATTGAGTTTGACTTTGTCGCGTTTACAAAAATAAAAAAATAAGACCAAATTGAACTTTAGTCCTTCTTGTTGTTTTAATTCCGATATCAGACACTAGGTAGCAGCAGAACACCGCTGCTTTGTATTGACCAGCTTGTGTTAGACGGTGTATGTGTGTCTGTCTGAGTATTCCGGTTTCAAATGACATCCAGCAAATCTGAAACGATTACAAGAAGGACCAGAAAAGCCTCAGAGTACTTGCGGTGGTGTAAAGTTAATTTTGTCCATCTTAAAAAAAAAAAAAAGATGAGATCCTTTGCGCTCTCTCGAGCCCACTGAAGTTTTCCAAACTACTTGGTGTGTACAGTTCCGCCAGCAGAGGGCGCTGTTATTCCATTTGACTTGGAATTTTTAAAGTCAGCTTTCAAAATTTTCACGGCATAAACACATTTCATCAAGCTTGAAATGTGTTTATGCCGTTAACCCCCAAAGTTATCATAGCCATCTCTAAATATGTGTAATTTGATTTGAAATTTATCTAAATGCATCAGAGCTGAAAAATTGCAAGGCACTCTCTTAAAATAAAAAGTTCGATTGTCTCAGTTTTTTTACACAAGTCCAGCTCGGTTTCACTGTTTTAATGTTTCACGTTAATGGCTTTCTCTCCAAACACGTCTTTTGAAAGGAGGCTAGAAAGAATGTGATGGAGTAGCGATGACATCATCTCCCCTGCTGTTGGTTGTTCTGGTTGTGCCAAACAAGGCTGTAAACAAACAAAAGCATGGTGGCGGGCAGAGGAGGGGGGCCAGCGGAGAGTGTCATGGCAGGAGGGAGGTTATTATCAGACAGTCGGGATGCAAATGAAATTTCACACGGTCTCGCCGTCGAGGAAATTTAATTACGTTGCTTGTTGCCGGACTGGTGGAATGCGTCACTAAAGCTTTGAGGCGAGGAGCTGAATGGCTTGTTGGAGGCCAACACCGCACATGCCCTAACCCCCCCTCGCCCACTTCATGGATACTTCCTGGGGCTCTCTGCCACCTGCTTGGAGCACAGAGCTCCTTGTGATGCCACACTGGACAGCTGCACTGTGAAAAGCATTGAGAGCCACACAAGGCCATGTCTATTTCTATTCACGTGGCCTCCGTCTTCCTGGCTCTGGAGCGTCAAATCACCCCCGTTCCATCATAATTGAACTCTCTGGTCATGACCTTCTTTTCCTTCATGCTGGATTCAAACTGGAATCAAAGTCTGACAATATAAGACTTGTTCTTTGGTAAGTCATGCTACTCCAGTACAGCAGGTGGCAGTGTAGCTAGTGGGTCACTGTGAGGCGAAACGTTTAAAAATGAGTATAATAATTTATTTTCATGACAAGCAATGCAATAATTACTCCCCCCCCACCACCACAGCGCCATCTTCTGGACCTGGTGGGTCACTGTCCCACTTTACCCAGCTGTGATCAGATTGTTCAGGCAGAATGTTTAAAGATGAGTCTTCTGTATATAACTTTATCGCACATTCGTAGGCCACATGCAATTGTTTCTTCCTTTGAACTTATGTTCGTGCTGCTTTTGTTTTGTTGTTTTTTTTTTGTTTTTGTTTTTTTACTCTAACCCGACTAATTTATATGATTTCTAACCACTGCAGCTGCATCTGCTGGACCGGGTGGCTCACTGCCCCACTTGACCCCAGTTCAATAGGAATGTTAGCAACTTGAATGATGACTTTGGTGCAAGCTGTATGGAAATTTTGGACTGCAATCCAATCATCATTGACGCTTGTCATTGGATTTAGTCTTTCAAGTGAAAGGACGGGATGAAATCCATGAGGTAAGTGGAATTGACTGTCACTTGAACGCCTGCTGCTGCCTTGTTGCCTCAGTGTGTACCAGAATGTGTGGTGTGTGTTCTCAAGGAGGCAGCTGTGTCCTAGATGACTTTTAGCAAAGGGAATTGGGGAGTGGCGAGTTGATAGTGGCGGGTATCACGTTATTCACATGCTGCCGCCTCCTCTATACGCATCAGCCGTACCAGTCAGAGGGTGAGGGCATCCGATGAAGGATTTATCACGCTCTCCAATTATCCCAGAAAGAGAAAACGAGAAGCTCCCGCTCACTGGGATGCTGCACAGCTCTCCAAACCTCTTTTTCTTTCCCGAAAGAGTTTAATCTAATTCTCTATGCCCATGTCTGTATTCTTTATCCTCTGCAATAAACAACTAATATTACTGCAACTTAATGAAATTTGATAATGGCCACCATTTTGTGCATATATCTGTAGTTTCTTTGAAACCTCACAATGTGGGTTTTATGGTGTACAGTGTATTATATCCATATCAGAAAATTATTTAAATATGACCCATAGAAACTAGCCCCCCAAAAAATGTTTGTGCATGATATAACTTTCCACTGGGCGTTCATTTGAACGAAAACTCTTCTTTCAAGCACTCTTCAAGCTGCTGCTGGAGCGTGGCCTCTCCACAGTTCAAGTTCTTGGGGTGACACGTGATAGGGGGATTAGGCTCTCTTATTTGTGTGTGTGTGTGTGTGTGTGTGTGTGTGTGTGTGTGTGTGTGTGTGTGTGTGTGTGTGTGTGTGTGTGTGTGTGAGGAGCTGCCCGTCGAGAGGGATCAAGGCCTCTGCCAGTTGCTGTGCGATGTCTGCCGAGGCCTGACACCGGGTCTGATCCGGTGGACAATACCTCTACTTAGATGGAGGCCGTGGAGGGAAGCCAAAAAGACAACGTGCGAGCGGCCCCTGTCTGCGTAATCCCCTGTGATACCAGGAATGTCCTGGCTGCCGTTGATAAACTACCCCCCCCCCCCAAATTGGATCATTATACCTGCTGTGATCTCCACCGTTTTGCTCTTTGATTCAGTTGTAAACGTGGCATTTCAGAGCTGACTAGACTTGACAGCTTCATTGTGGTTTTTGAATGGGAGGTGCCAGGAAGTCCACCTTTGTGACTGTGTTGCCATCAACGTGGTGCAAAGTGTTGACAACTTTTTCACCGTGTGCATTGTCTTTTCTTCTTTGCAGCTTTAGCGTACCTTCTTGATTAGTAGCTCCCCCATGGGGACTCCAATTGCCCCCAAATACTTGTGGCAGTGACACTCATGGACCGGCCAGTATGCCTTGTATACTGTGACAGCAGTAAGTATTGGAATTTAGAATTATCCACTTGCCTGACTTGGATGCAGGCAGTGTGGGTTCAGTTAATGGTTGCCTGTCTGAATATGACTGGTACACATCAAGGCAGTCGTACTGCCAGACTATTTTGTAAGACTGTCCAATAAGATTAACCATATGTATGTGTTGTGTTAAGAGTGGATTTGTCCCAGCGTGGAGCACCCAAGCAAGTATTGTTTTTATGTCACTATGTGATGAGGTGTTTTTTTTTTCCAGATGCCACACTGTGCCCCCCCCCCCAACCCCCTTCCCACCCATTGTTTTCCCTTTAACAATCGGGCTGTTTTTCTCCTGATTTTGCCCCTGCGAAACAATTTTATGGATAAGATTCTCCGATAAGGTTATCCTTGTGTGTTAAAATTGGATTGTCCCAATAATAGAAACAAAAATGTGTGGGGGTACGACAATCTTCAAAACTGAACATTATTTACGACCAAAAATATTTGTGTAGCGGAAGTGGATTACTCATGAGCCATTTCCGTGGACTGTGATGTGAACGCAACGTGGCCAATCAAAGAAGCGTCCTGACCGACCGAGGACAAACCAAGATGCTATTTCGTGCGGTTTATGATGTAGATGCCCACCATTATCGCGACACAATTTGTACTAAAAAGGATGTGATCGTGTGGAAAAAGTCATGAAAAATAAACTTTTCCCTGAAACGGAAAGAGGATTGACTCATTCGCGAGAGACAATTGGAAAGACACAAACTTTCCCACCACAAATCATAATCCTGCTTTTGCCTCGCAGGGAATGCGAATAACGCCGGAGTCTTTTTGTCTTGTCTAACACCCATCCGTCATCTCCAACGCGTTTGCTGTAAATCGCCCCAGATGACACAAAATTCTTCAGGCTGCTTGATGGGTGAGTTGATGATTTATACTACGACGAAAGCGTCCTTATTCGACTTTTGTGACTTTGAAGCCACAAGGAAGCAAGTACCCAATGTGCCCATAGGGGAACAAGTGCTTGCGACTTTAACTTTTCATGTTATTAGGTTGGCAAGTGTTATCTGCGACTAGATGCAGTTTCATCTTTTCCACTGCTGGAAAGATGCCCCCCCCACCCCCAAAGTATTTCCTGCAGGCTCCAGTTCATGAACTGAAGGATATTTGTACAATAATCCCTCGGCATCCTTCCCACACACCCGCCTGTCACATATGTGCAGTTATTAAACGTAATTACTAGTCTTCAGCGGTCGACCAAAGTTTGCTGTCGCGACGATGTTCTGTACATTCCCATGCTTGGCGCCGTGGAACAAGGGGAACGGCGTGTGTGCGCCCCACGAGGAGCTGATTTTTTTTTTTTGGAGGGCGCAGGGCAAAGATGATCAGACCTCCCACATCAGAGCCCTGAGTTCGCATTCCTGCTTGAGTTCAAAAGTGTCATCTTCAAAATATAGTCGGCGGCGTTCTTATGTGGGAAAATATGGTCGAGCACCAACCACAATATCAGGAATATTCTCCCTTAAAGTCTTCGCAGAGAAAGCACAGGGCGAGACGACAGCAGCTGGATATCAGGCAGATACATGGGTTGCAAGGTGTACTGGTACTAAAACAAAAAATGTTGCAATATTTCACGGTGAACGACTGGTTAGCACGTCCGCATCACAGTGCAGAGGTGCAGGATTTGATTCCAGTTCCGGCCTTCCTGTGTGGAGTTTGCATTTTCTCCCCGTGCCTGCGTGGGTTTTCTCCGGGTACTCCAGTTTCCTCCCACATTCCAAAACCATGCATGGCAGGTTGATGAAACACTCAAAATTGTCCCTCGGTATGAGTGTGAGCGTCCTATGCGATTGGCTGGCAACCAGATCAGGGAATTTCGTAGGCACTGTCTCCAATCTCCAGTCTTTGTGAAAACTGTATTTAATTATCAAAAAAAAAAACTACAAATGTTAAAAACAGAATTTTAAAAAAAGTAGATCACCTTACTTCCCCTGAACTTTGTATTGTAGTTTGAATTTTGTAGGAACTTGCATCCCCCCCATATATATGCTTCTCAGGAAGCATTTTTTTTTTCATTCATCAATAAATTGATCACATGGATTGTCATGGAGGAAAAATGAAAACACCGGCAAATCCAAATGTTTCTCAGTGGTTCAGCGCTTTTATTTTTGACGTTCTGGGCCCCCAACACGGGGAGACTTGTGTTAGTTAAATAGCAGGATCAGATCATAATCCCTGAGATGTCATCATTGGGAATGAACAGTTCCAGCCCTCCAGATGCTGGAGAATTAAAAAAAAAAAAAAAAAAAAAGCAGTACGACACGATTCCTACAAAAGCCGACGTAAACCACGTTACATTCGAAAACGTTCCTGTACATAACGGTTGCTCACAAAAGCACAGTATACAATACTGTAGTCGCCATGTACAGCGTAACCCAATATGGGTCGACTCCATGCAGAGACGCTGATGTCGCTCAGGTTAAGTTGTCGCCTCGCAGAACTCAGCAAGGAAAAGCATATTACAATCGATCATGTTTTTTTGTTTTTTGTTTTTTTTTGTGCAAGAGTACACATGATTTTCTTGGCTTCGAGTCTTGAGAGGCGAGCATCTTTCCCCGAGTGAGGAATCAGCTCATTTGAAATTCAGCTGTGCAATTTTTCAACAATTCAAAAGCCTAACAAATCAAACAAACAAAAAACCAAATCAAAAACTCCCCCCGTTCATTATTTCCCTCCTGATTGTAACGCATGCAAGGAGCGCATTTATAAGTTAGATGCAAATGAATAGAAGGGATTTTGCAGGGGTTTGGTTTGTTTGGACACAAATCTGAAGTCATTCCAAGATGTCTTTTTTTTTTTTTTTTTTTCTTTTGAAGAGGTTCAAAGTGCTTCATTCTGATGACCTTCAAAATAGGTCAGTCTAACACTGTTTACATAAAAGCACAACAAAATCTTCACATGAGAGCGTTTGTCTGGAATCAAAATGCTTTGAAGCGTTTCCATTTTTAAAACGCTCACATTAAAAAAAATTAATAATAAAGTAAAAGGCGGCGTAAAGCTGGCAAAAAAGGTCGTGGAAATAGGAAATACATTCTATGAGAATTGCAAGATACATTTACAAGCAACAAATACACAAAGCTCAACAGATTGCCTGCAAACTTTAAAAAAAAAAACAAAAAAAAAGTTGAAATCCACTTAGAAGTGGCGGTAGTCCCATAATCGGCGGCCCGCACAGCAGCCCACATACACGAAAAAGCCCGCCGTAGCGCTCGCTGGAAGAACCCAGCAGCGACGCGGTCTTGACACTGACGAAAAACGCTGGTCCTTGCCCGCCTTTCAGATACCGAGGCAAGACGCAGGACGAGGATGAGAGAGGAGCGGTCGCCCTACAAAGCAACCTGGGGCGGACACCACGGGGTGTCAGGGTACACCAGGCAGTGCACCGACTTGAACCTGTGACACGGACCGACGGGAGATCGGAGTTACGATCAAAAATGGTACGATCCTGTTGTCTTTGAAAAGGCAGAACCTTTGCTATCGAATGTCACATTCAGATTACGTGCAGGTGTATGTTTAGTCCCTCACCTGGATGGATCCTCCTCGACAGGAAAAGCTCCTTTCAAATTGATGATATTGCTCTTGTTTTCAAACATCCCATAGCTGAGAGTAATCTGAGGAAAAAGATGAATGGAGACAACCATGTGAACAAGATAGAATAAATCTCAAATGCACCGATACCACTCTTTTGCGGTTCGAGTAAAAGCACTTGAGTACTCGCCATCACAGAGTACCGTTGTGATTCAATTGTTTCATTTCAACCAACTATTGGACTTTCATCCTCACCTGCTTGTGGATCTCCGATCTAGACACTTGTTGCAGGTTCTCCAGGTGCGAGTGGAACAGGTTGCTGCGTATGAGCGAGACGCCCAACACTGACTCGATGATGTAGCCCACGGTGCAATCGTCGGGCAGGCGGATCTTCTCCGCCGTGTTCATGAAATGGCCGCCGCTGGAGAGACGACACACGTAGGTAAGACATGGTAGATGTTTTTTTGTTTGTTTTTAATTATCATGTAAATAATTGTCCTACCTGGCCCAGGGGCTCATCTTGAGTGCCAAACCGCGACTCACACAGAAGCCTGCCCCCCCAGTAGCGAACCAGAAGTTGACTGGTTTCTATAACAAGACGACAGAGAAACATCTTGTAATTCCATAGCGTGGGATAGAGTTGGTTATAGAGTTAGTTTTTAAAAAGTGGTCGTCTACGCACCATCTTATTATCGCCCAGCCTCTCCGTGGCCTCTATGGGCCTGTCCAGGCTGGGCTTTCCGATGTACACGTCCTGGGTGTGCTGGTACTGAGAAAGCTGCTTGAGCAGAGCTCGAACGTTCACGTAGTTGTCGTCGTCAACGTGACAGAACCACCTGAGCATCAAGTACACGGTGAGACCCACAAATGAACGTGTATACATACGCGCGCGTGTTTGTCTCAAGCACTCACTTCTTGCCCAACTCAATGAACTTGTCATACTCCACGGCCATCTTGCAGGACAGGGCCTGTCGGCTGTGAGCGGCCGAACAGTTAGTGTTGATGGCGTGACTCCCTGTGGACATACATGGACAAGTTATGACATGCAGCTCCCATACGTCCATCATTGGCAGTTTTTTTTTTTTAACTTCTGCAACATAATGTGTCTTCGTGGTGCGTGAGAAATAATATTCCCTGTCGGAATGTCTCACCGATTTTCATTTTGAGCTCCTCATCCTCACCGTCTGTGAAGATGTATGTCTGTGGATAAACAAGGGGAATTAGATGTTAGAGTCAATGATATATACAGTCATGGGGAAAAGCATTAGGTACACCTTCACAAAATACAGTGACCAATTTAAAATTTTCGGCCTTTAAAAGAATAAATGTTCTGTTTTGATTGATGCTAATTTCACAATAAGTTTGTTATTGTGGTTGTAGTCGGTACCTTTCACTCGCTAAAGATGCTTTTCGTGAACTAGCTAGTTAAATGTAGCAGCAGCTCGTTATATGGCTAGACAATAGACATACAGTCAAATATAAAATTAACCAAGATGAATTTTCCCCTTAAGGGGCTTATAATCAACATGATAAAAAAAATCCGAATAAATACAAAATTCAATGTAGACAATGCTGAATCTGCTAGCAATAGCAAGCTAGTTAGCAAGAGGAAATGAAAATGTTCCTGCATCAGACACTAACAAAATACATAAATGGATTAACTGCAGGGGCCTTAAGCCACGGCTAGGTTGGATATTTTTAAGGGAATTGGGAAAAAAAAATAACGAGGATGAGCCAACTGGAGCGGCTGGCTCGGTAGAGTGAGTTGTGTAATGACTGAATGTTTTGGCAGAATTGCCTTCCAGTATTATGAATGAGAAAGTGTTCTCAATCACTTGACTTCACTGCTTAATCAAGATACAGGATACATACGGTAGCTGAATTTACCTCAGTCACCTTTTTTTTTTATTATAAAGAAAATTTACTACCTAGCCAGCCTAACAGGTTACAAAGCTTGACTTCAGCTAGCATCAGTGACATCTAGTTTGATGGATAAGAGGGGGGAGTAAAAAAATCTAGATAAAGTCAATCGGCTAACATGCATAGCTGGACACCTGAATGTGTATATGGATGGTCTCTTAGCTAGCTAGCATTAGCACTGACCACTCGATTGATGAATAGATTGATCTTTTGTAATATTTTTAGATCGTTGTAAGAATTTGATACAGCTGTAGATGTGCATGTGTATTGAACGTTGCGTGAACTCCCTCTTCCTCCCCTCTTGGGTCCTTTCCTTTATAACAAGCGCAGTGATTAGCATCATTCAGCGGGGCTTTTATGTCCGGGGAAAACACATTGTGGAATTAAAACAGCCTCCGGCTTCCATAAAGGCCTTTTGTGCCGCTTCTCACTCATTCCATGGCAACCGCACAACCGCCCCCAAAGCATCCCAGATGACAGACCACAAAAAAGGGGAGGCAGACCATCCGACCGCCTCCTCATCCATCCCTATCCGCTATCTCATTCATACAGTTACACAACCCCCAAGCACAAGGCGAGTGTTAGATCAGAAATGACTGCAGGCGTGAAAGAACTGTTGTGTGGCAGCAGGTGCTGTCCAACAGTCGACCTGTTTACCCTTCAGGTGGGTCGGCACCTGCCGAGCAGCACGCCACCGTTGTCTGGCGCCACGTGTCCCTACACGCCTTTTTCAAAAGTGTGTGAGTTGTAATTTGTTAGAGGAATGCAGTGGAGTGTTTTGAAACAGATCTGATTTGACTTTTACACTCTTTGTCTTCTTAGCTTCTTCAAACACTTTCATCCATTTTCCATCACACTTGTCTAGGGATGGGTGAGTACCGATACCAGTATCGCTATTGGACCGATACTAGCCTTATATCAATGTATCGGGGACTCTCGATTGTTTTTCTGTTCATCGCATCCTTGTGCATCTTCCCATTAAGATCCATTTTCTATAAGTATATATATGTTGACAATGTTTATCTTCATGCTTAGAATGCATTATTACTGTGTTGCTACCAACATTTCCATGTTTATTTGTGAACTCTGATTCTGAAGATTCTACTGGCAACCAATCCGGGAAGTACCCCACTCCGGGTTTCCTACGTCACCACGGGGAGGCTCAAACTCACCCTAACCGGTAGGAGGAAATTTGCTATAGAAAATGGATAGATAGAATATTGATGTCAAAATTTAGAAACAATATAAGTCTGGATGAAGGCCATTTTAACCCCCCGCCATTGTAAAGGGCACACCTTACATCTGGGCTGGACCACTTTCTGCACCCTTCTCCCTGCACAATGAGAGATGTCTGGCGCTGTTTGTACAGCAAACTCACTAAGCACACCGCCATGAGGCTTTATTTGTTCAGTCACACGGGGCAGACGGCCGAATGACGCCGCCGCGATGGGCGAGCTCATGCCAGGTGGCGGGCCAGGAAGCAGGGGGTGGAATACCAGTGTTGATTAGTCAATCAAAAACTATGCGTGCATTCACTCCCTCGCTCCGTCACCCCCTCCACTTCTGTGTAGAGAACAATGCGGTGAGTTTTCATGCAGGGTAAAAGTCTCCACTGGGTAAATCCTCAACATGTTTGCCTGCATTTGCATACAGCTGCGGGAGTTAACTCCGCACGGCGCCCTCCCTGCCCCACTGTCTTTGTTTCTAAACTGACAAGGAGACGCGCGGTTACTTTCACTACATGCAAATCAAGTGTGTGTGAGAAGCGGAGATAAGAGAGGAGGGGCCGGAGGGGTACTTGAAACCACAGGAAAGTACGCCGTGGCCCCCTGTCTGAGCTGAACGCGCGTGGTGCCTGCATGGCTGCCTCCAGCTCCACAGGAAGGAAACGCACCAGCGGACACTCTTCCCTCGATTCACTACCGCCCTCCCCCGCGTACCCCTGACCCGAGTATACAAACATACACAAGTGTTCTTTAGGAAAGAAAAAAAAGTCACACTCTCCCTTTTATCGAGTTCCACCCTTTTCCACTTTAAGTACCCATTGTTGAGTTACTGCTTTATTATTATTATTGTGCATTGTTACATGTGCATAATGTCACAAAAGAATGCATACGTATGTATACTTTAATGTCTTGGGTTTAAAATTATTTTTCAAATTCATAATTATCTTGAAATGTGCTCATTTCATAATTTAAAAAGAAGGCTGAAAATATATATCTTAAGATTTTTAAATAACAATTTTAAGATTAAAATTAAAGTTCATATTGTGAACTATATTTGTCAATTTTTTAAAAGTAATTTTTTACTAATTCATGAAGATTTAAGATTTTAAAAATTCTACTTTACATTTTTCAACATAAACATTCTTTTTTTAGGGATTTAAATGAACAAAATACAGAATATTTTTAAAAAGGTTTTAAAGTGAAGAAAATAGAGGCTGACAAAGTTCACATTTCGAATTTTTTTTTAAATTACAAAATAGTTATATTCAATAGCTTCCAGTAAGATTATAAAATTGAAAATGAAAATGGAGGATGACATCATTTTCAAGGCCTCAAGCCACATTGCCTCACTTGTTCTAAGAATTACTCTAATACTGATGAACACTGATGTGCTGATAAAAGCTTATCAGGGCTCGTTGCATGTGACAATCCGACTCAAAGATTAGAAGAACAGGCACCACTGTGTCAGATCGCAGATAATCTCTGCACATGTAAAGGATGAAGAACAGAAATAAACACAACGCCGGCACAAAAGAGGCACAGATGCCATGGCGACGCCACAGATGTTCATCAGCTGAGCGTGAGAATGAGCGGCGGCCATATGTACGCGGTGGGAACCGAGCGCATCATATGGCCGCCTTTGTTCTGCGTCTCCTGACCACCTGGTGCCCTCCCCGATGGAAACTCCCTCTTGCATTGTGGCCTTGCTCTTTCCCTTATTGTCGCCGCAGCCACTCACCAGCTGCCTTCCAGGACATCTTTGCCTCTTGTTGCTGTCCAAGACTTTGCCCTTTGCAGTCATTACCAGCAATTGTGGAACTGCATTCTCCCCCAAATATGTATTGGATGCAGCCAAGGCTGACTTTATTAGCCACAATTGCATTTGGAGGACTTTACAGATGGTCCAGCCAGAGCCCAGACCTAAAACCAAATGGATATCTGTGGGATGACCCAAAGGGGGACCCGAAGCACTCATGCTGGGAAGACTCAGCAAATCCAGCGTAATGTCTCAAAATGTGTGTGCCAGTGATGATTACAATACAGCCAGAATTGAAAACAATGGAGGGAAGCATCTGGCTTCTTTGTGTTTTAAATCCACTGAATACAATAATTTGTTGACTCAGCAGATGCTGACAAACACAGCATGGCTAGCGACTTACCAAAAATGATTCTGTATTATTTAACACAATAGTATGCACGTGAGGGGAAGGAATGGCTTCCAATTGGAGTCGCCATCCTCAATCTCTGCACTATAATGTCTGTGACTGGCCTGGTGAGTGACGTGGGTGTCGAGAAATGAGAGCGCAGAGTTGACAGACTTATATATAGTATGAATGGACGAACAATGCCGCTTTCTCGCCGTCTGGAGTCGGGAAGCCACGGGTGGCCTGCTTACCTAGCCATCCGCTAAATGCGCCTAACTTGAATATATTGATTTCTCTGCGGCGTTTTAACATGATTTTTTGTCTCTATGGCAAAAACGCCACGGTGTGTTGTGCCAATTGTACCAATAAGTCTGAGAGAAGCACCACATCCAGATTTCAAGAGTTCAAGAAAGCGGGACGTGTGAAATGATCCCAAAATTTTGGACATTCTGTCCGCATGCTTTCCTGCAGTCTTGCTGTCAACTGCGGTAACATTAGTCTGTGCGGAACAATGATCACTGCGAAGCTTCCAAGCAGAGATTTGGCTTTGAATTGTTTTGAGTAATCCAAGTATTGGACTTCTTCCATTATTCATTTCAGTCCTAGTGTAGTGTTCTAGTACTTCAAACATTGGTCGTAGGATAGAAAAAAAGGTTTCGGGAGATTATTTCATTTCATTTTTTTCTTCAATGTGATTTTTGGGGTGGGGGGTGGGGGGAGTAAATTTGAACTTTAATGGCTCAGTCGTGCAAATTTTAAAGTAAATGTGACACCCCTGTCTGCAGGATGAAATCACTTTGACTGGGTATATTTGTGAGGCCACTTATTCACACACTTGCACCCCCCATTTGTCCCACGGGCATCCCCTTGAAGACGAAGCCCCCCATCCCTCTGTTCAAGCTTGACCCAGACTCGGGCTCTCTCGCGTTCCCATGGAAAGAGAAGCAGACGGGGTGCTGGGAAATCTTTTCTTCAGCCCCACCTCCATCCCAAAAAGACCAGCTTTGTTCCTGCCAGGACTGCGAAAGAGGGGGGACAGGGCGCTTTGGGGACTCGGCGCTTGCCGCCGAGGCATCCATTGCACCGGGTGGGGGCATTCACAAGGGACACCTCAAAAAAGGAAGCATAATAGAGAGAGTGAAGGGGGGGGGGGCATAAGGGGGTGTCCTCTTGCTTGAAAGTGTCCCCTTCGTTCTCAGGCACATCACTCAGAGGAGAATAAAGAGTGACATGCAGGATGGTGGGAGTGAGATAGGGTTGCTTGAGCGCCTCATTGCCACTTATGGGTGTTATTTAAAAAAAAAAAAAAAAAAAAATGGAAGCAGCCATCTTTCATTGTGTAAGCCCAGTCATTTTCAACCCCTGCTGGAAATTATACAAACGCACTTGATGTATTTGATGCAAACTCAACAAACCAAGCAAGTGACAGTGGCAACCCAAAAGTCCCAACAACAACAACAAATAATGCATTTTGTTCATCTATTTATGCCAGTGACTTAGAGTAACGGGCAGAACACTTAAATGCTTTTCTGCGAGATGGCAGCAGGTACTAATAGCCTGTGTAACCCCCCCCCCTTTTTTTGCCATTCACACAAAGGAATAATAGCGTTATCATTATTTCAGTGTGTATATACTTTTTGTGAGATGTTTGTTTGTTGCTGTTTTCTTAAAAATGTGTACCCACAGTGCTGAAAATCATTTCATCTGACATGGTGCATTATTACAAGCGTCAGTAAAGTTCATAGTTACCTGTTGCTTACTCCTAGAGATCCAAGTGTCCAGAAGCAGGTTGAGTCTGGACTGGTGGAACTTCTTGGTGGTCTTCACCGCGATGAACAAGTCATCGGGTCGGATGTCCTCGGCCGGCGGGGGTGCGGTGTCCCCGGCGTAGCCAGAGGAACGCGCAGTGGGCTTTTCCGCCGCCCTGCGCCCACGGCTCAGCTTGCCGAAGTACGCCGAGAAGCCTTTCTGCCCGCCGCCTTGCGCCGAAGCCTCCCCCCCTTCGGCCCCGGGTAGCGACCGAGTGTCCTCCGGACCGGTGCTCTCCGCGCGCACTTGAGCTCCGCGATGCCGCACGGCGACCAACAACATCAGCAGGCAGAGAACCGCCGCGGTGCTAACGCAGACGGCCGTCTTCTTCCCGTTGTTCTTCAGCATGGTAAAAACTAAACAATATAAGGAATGCAGCGGATTTCCGACGCAAAGTCCATATGGTCATTTAAAAGAAAAAAGTGTGATGGGGTCGTGCGCGGCACATCGCTCAAGCGCGACTGGCGGCGACGTCACGCAGGCAAATTTATAAGGTTGTTCTATGATCACGCCCACTGGGAGGTCCTTCATGACAGAAAAATTGACATATAGCAGGTGCTCAAACTTTTTGGCCTTGGGACAAAAATGGCAAATGTACTCACGCTCTCACTTGATACGCACGCGCACACTCACGCACACATGAAATACTGGTCAAAGCAAAAGTACTGATTCGACGTTTGTACTTAACCCAAAAATAAAACAAAATACAGAGCCCCAGACATGACATTTAAGGGGAAAAAAAAAACTTTGGGTGCACAAACTACTTATTTGTGCACAATTACTACTTCGTTCGCACGGAATAGTTACAGCGTGCACATAAAGTAGAGCTTAGACAAGAGTGTCTAAGCTCGCTTCTCACTGACCTCGTCAGTGTCTTCGAAAACCCACAAATCATTGCATCCGAGATTGTATTTTATACAAACATCAAGTAGTGATATGATGACAAAATGTGTTTATATCGTATACATTCACCGACATCCCTCCCAGAGTGATGCAGTTGCTAAACAATAAAATCAATGCTCTGACCTTTAGCCCCACCATTGCTTCCTGACAGATTTAATGTCGAATCTAAATCTAAAGTCATGTTTTTTGTTTGGTGTTTTCCATTCCATTCAGACTCCTTTGACCGTGAGCTGAGTCCGAGCTGCTGAAATAGCCTCCATTGTTATCCGTTGACCAAGGGAGGAACCGAGAGCTGTCGGCCATTCCTGCACACTTGTTATTATTCAAATGGCAGCTTTCACCAGTGATGCTGACCAAAGGCCCGTTGGGAGCGACACGCAGCTGCTCGGAGCCTCGGCAACGCACAGCGACGCTGCAAGATGAAGGTGGCTTTTGGAATCACAACTTTTCCATTGCAGGTGTTGAATGGCGGGACATAACTTAGAAGTGTTCTTTGTGCTCCTGACAAGCTCTTTTGTCCTCATATGTGCATGCGGAGGCATCCAAAAGGGACAGCAAAAAACAAGTGTTGGCGGGGCGGGTGTATTTTTTTTTTTTTACAACATATTGAGTTTGAAGTCATGGACCCAAATATAAATGCAGGGGAAGGCCACATGCTCGCAGGCCTTTTTGCACCAAGTGGCTTGTTGTGGAAGAGCAAAACCACAACTTGTCTCCCACGTCAAAACACTAACTCACTAATTCCGGTGAGCCGCCAAAAAAAACGCCACTGTCGGGGAGGTCTCGGAAGGCTCCGTTGGATGTTTAAATGGAAGCCCTGCTAATTTCTAGTTCTTGTTTTCACAAAGCTGATTGCATCTGATGCACATTGACAAGGAAAATAATCACCGCGGCATCTCGGCTGCTCTGGGCCAGCAGGCTTTTAGAATCCTTCACAAACAATTCAAAGCCAAAAGCGCAAAGAAATGCCTAGTGGTCTGTCTCAGAGTTGTGAGGTTCAGGGTTCGAATCTCAGCTCTGGCCATTCTGTGTGGAGTTGGCCTGCTCTGCCTGTGTTTTTAAATTGTTCCATGTATTTGAATGCTGAGTGTCTTTTTGGAGTGACTGAGCTCATGCGGGACAGTCAAATTCTCAAACAGTTTGACTTTGCCCCTGTTGGCACACTTTTCACTCTGTGGGCCTCGGGCCACCATAACCGTCAACCTCAGATGATTGACACTGAATATGGAGGGCGGGTGGGTGGGCTCCTGTGTAGACTTTACAACCTCATTCATGTAGCTTCATTGCCATACGTTAAAATATGTAAGTGTACAATAACTCTGCTCATAGACAAGAGTTCATGGCATTTCATTCATTTTTTTTTCTATTCCTTTGAAATGAGCCATTTTCCACTTCATACTCCTTGTGGTCAGGTGACCGCAGGTGGGGCGGGTTTGGGGGGGGGGGGGGGGGGGGGGGGGGGGGATCCCTTGTTTATCAGGATTAGCAGCCCCTGGGACCATTACTGTCAAGAGCTGCTTGATGGGAATCTTCCCTCTGATTTTTGGCTACCACTGGCCCCCACCCTCCTAGAATGCCTGTGTCACAATATTCCCCTCTGATGCCACTGTATATCCCACAGAGATCAATGACAGATGGTGCCACAATTTCAAGGTCATCCATCTGCGATCTACCACATCTGTTGCTACTTAGCACCCTTACTAACCAGCAAAAATGAATTGCGCGCTGCTTCAATTTCACAGTCTTTTATTTCATCTTATTGTTATTACTATATTATTATATTGTTATTATTATATATATTATTATTTTTGCAGAACTCCAGTGGATCCCAGTTCATGTTTTGGGAAACCTCCGTGTTGTTGAGCAAGCGCGTGCATGGCGGGGGGCCGAGGGTGATATACGGCAACATGAGAGGCCAGACAAAATGAGGCAGCCGTCGCAATGAAAAGCAGATGTGCCTGCAGGGCCACTTCAATTACTTTATTACCATGCGAAAACAGTGAGGGGCAATCTCTTAAACGCCGCCTAATGGCGGAGGGCACACTGCTAATCTGTTAGACACGCAGGCTTTATTATGTGCCGTAAGCGACGACTTTCCTTCTGAGTTTGGGTTATTTGCCCGCTTGAACCATCTTGTGGCGTAGAGTTAGTTGTAGTTTCTCACGTGGTGTGCGTCATGAAGTGATGTTAATCCACGCATTGAAAATGGTTCATTTCAAATGAGATAGAGTGGATATAAAGTCCGACACACTCCCGTTCAAATGGCAGGTTGAATGATCATAAAAAAATAAAATAAATAAATTATTTCAAACCTTTTCCATCGCTAATAGGACCGATCACCTATACAACTGAGCTGGGGGGAAAAAATGGAATCTTGCCAAGGGGACAACTAAAAATAACTCTGATGTGGTTGCACAAGTGTACATACCCTTTTATAAGGGGGAGGGGGGGGGGGTTCGGGGTGATGAGCGGTGTTGTTTGCAACAAAAATACATTTTAATTATTTTCAGAATTGTGCCTGAAAATTTTCAAATGATAAGACGATAATAAAAGCACTTCAAGTGCTCTTTAAGCCACTAAAATGTCCTCTTAAAACTGATGATTTCTACATTAATTAAAAAATAATACATTTTGATTGAAATATTTCAACAATGTAATATTGATCCAACTCAGAGATCCGAAATTGTGGCCCGGGGGCCATTTGCGGCCCGCCAGCAATTTTTCAGTGGCCCACAGCAAATATTAAAACTGACATTTGACATGGCCCACAAGTCAGTGCAAACTACAAGCAGAGTAATAAACATAAAAACACAGAATTGATCATTATTATCTTTACAGAGGCTGATTTATTTTTTTTCTTTTGGCATCATGAATCTCTTGGTGTGCAGGTGTACTTAATGAAATGTCCTGGGATTTTAATGTGTAGATTCCCACCAAGCATTCCCTCCTTCTTCCCATACGATCCAACCTGGTCCGTTCAGGGAATCTCCCCCTAATTTTCGTCACCAGAATTAATTCTTGCCACTGGCTTTAGATCAACTCCCCACAGAACTCCAGCAGAGCAGCGATTTATCCCATGCGGTAGGTCCAGCCGAGCTGAGCCTCTCATATTAAATGGATTAGCAAAAGCCATTGTTCTAATGGCATACAGAATATGGATTTAGAATGTTGTGTATGTTTTTTTTTTTAAGTATAACTGCAAAAGCTGATGATAAATCCTCTAATTGTGCCCGCGGTTCCTTGACTGACCTCGGTGAGGATCAACCAAGCTCACGTTAGTAGCCGTGGGAAAGCGCAGCGGTGACGCTGCTTTACGAGCTTTTCTGATTTCCCGTGGGAGACGACAACGATAGGATTTAGCCAATCGACATGGACAAAAGCAACGGGACACATGCAGGAAGTGGAAAAAATGGACAAAACTGTGGAAATAGGCCACCAGTTCAGGGATATTTATGACCTAGCATTAGCGCTAGCATTGGTATGAGGCATTCTGCTGTGCAGTTTGCGGAGAGCAGGTTTTGTTTAAGACAAGCCATGTATGCGTGAATTGTATGACGCGTTGTAGCGGTTTGATGGCTACAAAGCTTCTCAAACTGGCGCTGACTTGCAGTCAGAAATAGAAAAACTTCTGTTGGATGCTGATGCCCACACTTTTGTCTGAATGATACCTGAAAAAACAAAATAGAAAAAAAAGGAAGTATACGGTAACTTTTTGAACACTGTTTACATTTACCAATATAAATAAAGTTGGTTCATCAATATCATATCATTAAATGAATCGGCAATGAACGGCTTGTGGCCCCAAGACCTTTGAAAATGGTTTTGTACGGTTAAGGTTAAAAATAAATTTTGTGTTTTAAAAATCGAATTTGGCCCTTGAACACAAAAATGTGCCCACACGATTTGTAAAGTCAGTCACGCGTCCCTGGCAGTCATACGTCATTCAAATAAAGTAGAAATACTAAATGTGCTCTCAGAGACCATGTGGAAACATATCGCCCTACATCAACCAAATTCAAATTACGCCTGAGGAATTGGACCAAGTCTCTGGAAACAAGTGCCGGTATGAAGTCACGCGACCAAGTACAGCCCTACAGTTAATTCCTTAACATCAAGTGCCGCCCCCCCCCCCTCAAAGATGGAGGCCACACTCACTCGTGGGCCCTTTTCCCACAACCTCAAGGCACCTCGGAGGAAGTCACCCAAGCGTGACGGCGCTCTTTGATTAAAAGGCTGAATGTCCAAGGTTGTCCCGGAGAGTGTGGCATTAGCAAAAGCACATGCTCTCCTTTGGGGCCAGAACAATGGCAGCCTTTGTTAGCGGCGCCGCAAGTGTCTGTTTAGATTTAAACGAGGGATCTCAGCGCCGGCGCGTAGACAATAAAACCAGGGTGGGGTGTGCGTGAGCTCTGGTATAGCGCCGTGCACATGGCAGCGTCATTTACGAGATTCGAGAAAATACATCCGAGCTGTTAAGTGATCTTGCAGCTTCAGCCCAGTTTGAATTGATTTATTTGCTCCCACGCAGATGTCACAATAAGCACTTCAATGGATAAGGACCTCAGATTTTGGGATTTTGCTGTCTCTCGGTCCGTCTAAAACAGTCAACAAGGTCACTCATTTTTTAATAAGTAGAACCTAACTAACAGCTATATTTTCTGAAGAACTCACCCTCTCGCATTTTATGCAAATGTTCTCTTCAGGCGTGGTCCTTAATCCCAGCTAATAGCAAGGGCTCACTCTGTATATGCGCCGTGTGGACGGGAGGAGGAGACTTGTCATCATGCCGCTCGGGCTCGAGGGCGCTCTATAAACAGCAGTGAGCTGTCTTTAAATAGGGCATTGTTTTGTCTTTTGTCTTTCCATCCCTGCGCTGTCCCCCATCCCTGCTGCTGCTGCTGCTGCACCCCAAGCGCTGCAGTAAACATCCTGTCACCCATCCACGCCCAATGACCCACCACTCCCGTGGATGAAAACTCTAGTTTGCCTTCTCCCAAACAGGGAATGACACTTTACTCCCAAATGCTATTTAACATGGGTAGGCAAACGTTTGTGCTCAAAGACCATGTATGATTTTTAAAAAAACGGACGGACGGGCCAGGTCATTCACAGTTTTAGATATCAGTTGAACGTCTGTGACAGTCAATTATTGTTGCTGACTTAACGCTTTGGACATATTGTACGGAGCAACCAGTGGTTGCCATTCGATCCTCTGTGTGCTCTTTGCCATAACTACCATTCTGTGGTGACATGTGGAATAAGTATCACAAACAAAAGCCAAAGGAAAAGCAAAACACACCCATTACTTCTGTCCTCGTGTGTCACAAGACATTGTAAAAAGAAGAATCGGCAACCTCAGAGGCGGGAAACTTGCAACCGAGCTTGTTTAAGCCTTTTAAACGGATGTTTAGAGGCTATGAAGGAGGAGGTGTGCTGGACTGATGGCTTCCCTTATTCTTCCCATTATACCCGCACACCCTTTTCCATTGGAATGAAGGGCTATCTATCAGACCCCCCACCCACCCTGCTACTCCTTTTCTGGGCTCAATGAAAGCACCTCTGTTCGCAGACCTGCCTCACACGGAGACAGCAGATGTGTTAAACCCTCAGCCCCACCACCAAAAGATAAGTCACAAGAGCTGAAGTAGAAGCTTAATAAAGAGAGACAGCTTTATGGAAATGGGAGTAGAGCAGATGCTAATGCTAGCTGAGGCCAATTCTTGGCTGTTTGCGAAAGAAATAAATCGCACTCATTCGTTATCAACTTCCAAATCGGGGATCTATCAACCGTCTAGCTAGCTAGATACCGTATTAATGCTAGCTGATGTCGGCATTTGTCTGGTGTACAACAATTAATCGCGCTGACCTCTCACCTAGCATTTATTAAATTAGCATTGATGCTAAGTCCGCCACATTTACACTGTTTAATGTGCACTGTCCCAATGAAATAAATAAATCAATACAACTCTCAGCAGGTGCTTGTGGATATCCACCAAGGTCTTATTCTGCCTTTTAGAGGGGTGAGGGGTATCAGTTGAGGGCTGGTGGTGGTCGCGGGTGGGGGTGTCAGACAGGGCAGATGTTGCGTGCAAAATCTCCCTGGGGGGGTTGTGGGGGGTTTGTAGGGGGGGAAGTGTGCCGCCACTGTGGGAAGGGGTCAGGGCAAACGAGAACGTCTCTAATGACACACAGCAGCGGTTACCATAGCGACAGGCAGCATCACCGCCTGCTGGGCCCTTGTAAGAGACTATTCCAGTCACATAAAGATTCTCCTGTGGCCTGGATGAACCTTTCATTGTTTAGGGTGACCTTTCTGGGGGTACGGTGCATTTTAACCCCAGAACTGAGTACTTTTGGAGGACCGTTGGTGTACCCTGGAGTGCTTTTGAGGGCGAGAAACCTTTCGGGTGTGGTTGGGAACGTATACAGATTGGAACCTTTGGTTTCATGAGACAAAATCCCCCAAACAAATGGGGGAAATTGTGTTATGGGTCCTCGGAAACCGAGAATGAACATAGTTCTTGATCCTGGGGCAAAAATATTTTGACAAAAATATGTTGAGACATGTTATTACGGCACCTGGGACCCCCCCACCCCCAAAAAAAAACAAAAGTACAGTCTGTCTCCTTTTAATGCTTTGTCTTGTTTATCAGCAGAACTTACTGTTTTGCTGCATTCATCTCTTGAGAAAACAGTCCCATCAGTGAGGTTTATCAGAATGGCCCAGGGAGACTTGTTTCCAGAGGTTCCAAACACAATAGCTCTCAGTCTTCTTTTGTTGTGAAAGGCCCATTGTCCTGGCCTCCAAGGGTTCTTGGATCAACCACAAAGAGCCGTTGCAACAATAATGCTGCCAGGCCAGAGGCTCACCTCTTGGCCTCTGAAGGATGCTTTGTATAACATTAGCCGGGTCAGAACCCCCGGGTCAAGATGTGAGGGCGTTTTTTTGGAGTGGCAGAATGTGCAAGAACTCTTGAACTTCAGGAGGGTCGCGATTATATATGCATTTTGGGGCCCATTGTGTCTCCACTCAGGAGGAATATGAAGGAAAGCATGCATAGACTCGTTCCATATGCAGTTGATGGGGAACATTCCTTGTAAAGAGAGAGAGAGAGAGAGAGAGAGAGCGAGAGTTCAGGTGTACCTAATGATGTGTCCTATCCTGTGTCAATGTCAGACTGGAAAAAAGTGGCTGACGAAGCTACTGAACCCATTGTTGCCAAAAACAAAAAAAACGCAGGTACGCTCACGAGCCAATGCAAACATGGAAGCCTCATCAGTGCGTGAGCAGAGAGCAAAACAGGTAGGCCCCCGTATCAAAATAACAGAAGCAGGAAAACGGTTCGCCATCCTCCCTGACTCCTCTTTTGTGTCTGCAGTATTGACGGAAAAGCTCCCGACTTCCCGGGTCACTGTCCCTGACCCCGACCTGGACATCTTCAGGAAGACTCCTTGACGTCTGCGAGATGCAAACCGAGCTCGCATCGCCTGCGGTGGAAGTAGCATCACGGAGCGATACTTCCCGACCACTTTATTAGGTACAGCTACGTGTGTTACTTGGGCGGTACGATAAAGTTATGCCGAGACAAATGAAGAGTACGTTCTCAACTCCTTGAAAGTGACTTAGTTAGTAGGTTGCTCCGATATTAAAAGATCCATAAAAATTTCTTGGGAACTTTCACCGATCAAACTATTTAACTTAAGCCAGAAAAATCGACACCTGGCCGTTGGAAACTTTTTCTGCCAAATGCGGAAGGAAGAAGGTCTAATCGCTTTAAAATGGTTGCTTGTTTTTATATTTTAGCCGCGCTCACGTAGGGTGGCGACGTTTCCCTAGTCCACGTGGCAATATGTGACTCCACGGTCTTAACTGAATTCAACACGTATGTGTGCCAAGAATGCCGTAGATAAGGAAGGCCGCACTCGCTTTTGCAACTCTCTTTGTTTTATGTTTATTTGACAGTAAAACTATTATCTTTGCAAATGCATAATTTTTGATAAAGATGGCGGATGGGATGCCAGTAGTTGGGATGACTAAACCTTCATGCCACATATTGAAATTGCTAAAACTATTCTTCCACAAGCTTTGTTCCGTTCATCATCTCCTTAAGGGAACCAACAAAAACGTCCTGGTTGAGAAAGAGTCCTTGGACTCACTCCAAGGTCAAGATCTTTTCAGTGTGTTGGCGTCGACTAGAATAATGCGAGGACAAACAGTGGACTATCAAGAGAGCCTGTTAACTTTGACCTCCAGCTGCACTGCTTCCTCTCCGGCCTCCCTGGGTGGGACTCGCTAGCTGCGAAAACTCTCACGTATCTACTGTTCTCCCATTCACCGCCCCTCTCCGATCACATCTTCAATTTTAGCCGTACGTGGCATATTTTTCCCACTCGCCGCGGTCATTGAGGGTATGGACGCTGGAGGTCGGCAGGGTTGTTGCAGTTGGACTGAGGCCACAGGAGATATCAATCTGCTGCGTTGAAAATCCGGGAATCAAAAATAATCCAATGAACAAAATCGAATTAGTGTATCCGGCTAAAGAGAATCTTGATAATTTTGTTTGTTTGTCAGGCGGCCCTGGAGCTGGGAAATCATGTTTGAAGTCCGATTTGATACGATTTTCAATATGTGGAGTATGAAACGATTCAAGGGAAAAATTCCGATTTAAATCAAAGCAAGTGAGGGCTGAAGAAAGTCATCTATTGGAAAGGAGACAGTAACAAGAATGTTGAATCAAAGTCTATGATGACAAAACATAATCTCTAAGCAAAAAAAAAAAAAAAAGTCACTTCAGTATTGTTTACAACTACTTATTAAGTGAAGACATGTGTCCTGGCGTCTGTGACCAAAAATAGAAGCACGAGACTAACGAGAGGACAGATGATGGGAGCTTTTTCACAGAGTACGCCGTGCAATGTGATGCCGTGGCTGGATCCCCTCAGGAAGTGTGTGCAGCAGTGCGAGCAGAGGAAGTTGACTCTGCTGTGATGTTTATACTGGGCGAGGATGCGGTTGAGCAGCTTTGATCACCCCCCCCCCCCCCGCCACTCCCGCTCTTCTTCTTTTATTCCATGCGTGTCTCATTAAATCACCCTCCCTTGTTTTTTCCACTGTGAATGAAAAGCAAACAAGTGGATTCCTTGATAAGGGATGTGACTGATCGGTGCTTCAAGCGGAGTTGTGGAAATGAAAGCGTGCATTGATCGGATCTAAGTTCTGAACATCTGGTCACATTATTCGCCAAAACCAATGAGTGTGCGACTTGATTAATACGCTAATTGCGGTGATGCTAATGCTACTGAACTAAATTTTCCCTTTGAAAAAAACAAAACAAAACACACACAGTCAGGTCTTTATATTTGGCATTTCTAGAATCAAGGATCAAAGTTGAAAATCCAGGGAACAGCTCGTTCGCACATTAGCATGTCCAGCTTGTAGCATAAAAGGCGATGAAACAGTGGTGCCTTGAGTTTAATTTGTCCTGTGACGACATTTGTAACTGAAAACATTTTTTTTCATCTCAGATCAAAATTCCCAATTGAAATGAATGGAATTGCCATTAATCTGTTCCAACCTTCCAAAAAATACACCCAATATGTGTGTGTGTGTGTGTGTGTGTGTGTGTGTGTGTGTGTGTGTGTGTGTGTGTGTGTGTGTGTTTATATAAGAACAGTAACCTCTTTAGTCTTTATGAAACTATGCGATAATGACACAATTAAATAGAATCTAAAGAAATCAAAATTTTTTGTCACATTTCAATGGACATTGTCCTGCTCCTGGTGTGTGCACATTGGCCACCTGGGGGCAGTATAATACACAGCTACGTGGAGGAGATGGCCACAATTGCTCAGTAAAAAAAAAAAAAAATCAATAATTGTCGCTCTTTGCAGAGGATAAAAAGTATATGCCTGTGAATATTTATAGAATAGTATATTTATTTGTGTCCTGTTTGTTTTTTTCCCAGTGGACTTTAAGAAATGCTATCTCTTCTGAAGATAAGATTTACTTGCATGACTTCTTATGGGAATTTATGATTGTTTTTTTTTCTTCTTTTGGGAATGCTTTGGAATGGCTGTTATCTCCATCATGTTTGACACAAACACGGTCGACCGCTCGCATTGCCAGGCGCACAATGGCACACACGAGGGTTATCAGCGGACACCCCCCGAGGTCAAACCGGGGCTATGACCACCATGGAGGGATCTGGCGTCATTGTGAATCGGTTTTGGTCCGTTTTCATTTGGGAAGGGGAGGAATTCCTTCCTTTAAAATCGGAGGCAATTCTCATGACAAATTTTCTGGATTTTTACAATAACTATGCATGTTTGTGTGTCTTCAGCAGCCACCCAGCAAAAGTCTCTGCACTGACACAGAACCGCTGCTTTCCACACTGCTCGTGTAACTACAAAGACAAGCAAGTGACAGTGATGAGGTGAGTTTCTTTCCCATTCATCTCTTAGTTCTCTTTTGTGGCCAAACGGTATGATTGTTCTTTTTTTCCCCCTTCGTTGTATTGCCGTGAACGTCTCGGTTTAACTTCCTTCCCTTTGTGACCCAACAACAATGGCTCATGAAACATAAACTCAAAGCAAAGTAAGGCTCAAAAAGTCGCTGACTCCATTGTAAAAGTGAAGGTATGTGATGGATGGATGGCTTGGATCCACCATTTGCATTCTGGAATGAAGAAATGCGTCCAAATGTCTTCATGGACACGTTAACATTCCTCCACCAAGACCTACGGTGGCCTTTTGGGGTCAAAAAGTATTTGGTTGTATTTTAACCCTTCAACTGAAACAACCAACAAACATTACTAAACGCGACTAGCGTCCGACTCTGGTTTGGTTAACTGGGATTTGCTCAGTTGCAAGCACGCCGATTATCACCTCCTATCTCAAACCATCAAACGTCCACATGCAAAAACAAGCATAAGCCGCCTAAATCAAAGCGCACAGAAGCATGAGAAACACGATCCAGCAGAGAAGATGCAGGGAATGGATTACCGCCGACGTTTCCCATGGTCCCGCCTCTCTCCGGGGACAGCCGGCCAGGGGCTCCCCTGGCTAGTCATTACCACCGACGGGAGCCCACAATAGGTCAGGGGAGATGAGATAACATTGTGAGCGGCCCGAGCAGCAGGTGAGCGACTCAATGGGTCTGATTAGGTATCTGGGTCCCAGGGTGTAGCGTTGCCTCGGGGCCCTCGGGGGGTCTCGGCCCCACCATCTGCCGGCCTGAATTCCCGCTCAGTGCGGTGACACAAACTCGCTGTGTGGCTGCGGGGCCTTTCCTCGGGCTTTCTTCTGTTACCGTTTTGTGCTCTCAAGTGTTCCACTTTGCGGCGCCTTTGCTGCACTTTCAAACACAGACGCAAAGGAGAATCTTTGGCAACAAAGAAGCGCAAGCTGCAGGATTTGAGATGTCTTTCGTTTACTGGAATCTTGGTGGAAGAAGCTTCAGGTTGGGATGAGTGATTGAGGTCAGGTCAAAGCACGCCATCCCAAGTGTGAGGGTGAGGGTTAATGGTAAGGTTGCGGTTCGAGTGGGGTTAGAGTTGCGGTTTGAAGTTTGGATCGGTTCATGAGCGTGACTGAACTGGAAAATCGCAAGACAAGTTAGTCAGCAACCAGAGATGGCGCTACACCGAGGCTACGGGGGTGCTCTCGCTTCATCGGAAATCTGTGTAGCCCCCAGTTAAGCCCCTCCAGCATTTTATTTGCTATTCTAAAATAGATTTTGAAATGATTTTCTCCTCCCGTCTACCGTGCTGCATATACTGTATTATTGGTACGACTTGATGCTAGCTCGAGATCACGCTTACCTGGAAAAGTTTATTTTTGTCGTGAATGATCATGTGATACTTCTTGGTTTTGATTGGTCCTCACATCTGCAACGTCGCGACGCTATTTTCCTGTGACTCCATTTTCAAATTGCCGCAAAAGTAATTGCAGACAGTCCGTCACGCATGAAAACTTATGACACGCACTGAGTTTAGCGTTAGCTTTAAGGCAACCGTTAAAGGTGCAGTTAGGTTCAGCAAAGCGAAGGTTAGGTTCAGGTTTGCTGCTTATCATACATGAATGCATTTCAACTCCCCACTCCAATCTGTCAGTAATAAGGTTCTGAAATCACTTAGAAATGCTCTCCAGACCTCGCTGCGTGCGCAGTCGTGAGGCCACCATCAGTATGCGCCCACCCCAGGGAGGCCAATGCATGGCGGCCATGTTTAGAACCTTTGATGTGCTTAACACATGGCGCCTAAAATGGAGATGTCTATATGGAATTTGAATTGTGTGTCACTAATACACAGCACATCAAAGTTGAGGTAGAACACACAGCTTACCATTGTAAATAACCAGCTAATGGAATTGATACGGACTGTTGTGGTGCATGATGCTGAATTCTGCCCATTTGATCATTTTGCTTGCTTGTCAGAAAACTTTTACGAGTCCGAAATGTGAGCATGCGGAGTAATGGAGACATCTGGAGAAGCATTTTAAATCAGTTAGGACACGATAACCGTGACCGGCACCTTTTGACCGTTAAAGCATAGATCTCGACACGCTTAATTAGTGTACCTCACGTACGTACGTGTGTGTTTACATCGCCGGGCAAATTGGTATCCTTTTTGTCGCCGGGCAGAAGAGGAGAGATGATAATGACAAGTCCAGATGTGGAGTTTTGACCCCACCGTGGCACCGTAGTGCAGTCCACAGACATCTTGTTGTGTGTACCAGAAATGACTTAGCTTGTAAAAACACAACTTTTAGCTAGCACACTGGAGTTTTTTTTGTATTGATATTGTTACAGTCATTTAAAAATGAGTTGAGAAGTTATATTATTAGTTTGACAATCTTAAAAATAATAATATTAAAATAATAAACATCTTTTTGCATTTACACATTTGTGACAAATCAAGATCCAATCACAAGATTAGCACCAAATGCCTCAAGCGATGCAATAATGTGAAAAGACAATTGTTGCCTTGATGCGAAAGTTAGTCAAGGCAGTAGCGGGTCACATTGATCACATGAGCGAGCACTATGTCGTAGCCTCCATCTGTTCAGCGGTGCCCTGATGATGATGAGCAGGGTTACGACCCCACTGACCGCCCCTAATGCCCTCAATCTCAAACACCTTAACCCCTGCTGGGCCTACAGAAGGCCTGTGTTTTGATCGTGGTCAGCGTGGGCTCAACCCTTTTGCGTTTTGAGCATGCTGCGTACGAGTTAGCGGGACTGCTAACGTGCCACATGACACTGATTGACTGTCAGCATGTCGGCTGCCCGATGGAATGTTGGTCTGTTAAAGTAGACACAACATTTGTTAGACCTGCGAAATTGAAGTACATCCAACTTGTGTTTTTACAAAGTCAATTATGATCATTTTGACACTGTCAGGGAGGTACCAAATTTAACGTTGTGTTTGTCAAGAGTCAGAATATGTATGAAAATAAATGTCTTTATTTATTTATATGACCTTGAACAGAATGACAAGTAGAAATGGAGGACACATGGATTAAAAATATGTATATTTAATATTCATTTTCAATTATATTTGCATCTGTTTATTCTAATTTTCCTATTTTCAATATATTATAATGGAGAACATTATAAGCAGGGGAAAAAATATGGATGGATTGAGTTCTGTAATTATTAGCAAAAAGAATCTGACAAATAATTGCCATGTTTGTTTTGCACCAAGAACAATAAAAAAAAGCCCAACTGTCCGATACTTTTGCACGTTTTATCCAGTAAATATGATGTTGGAAAAATGCTGTCCACTGTACCGCTACAAACGTAACAAACTTGTGTTGACTGTCTGAGAAATGCGTCCAAGAAAACATGCTGATAAGCTGCAGCTATACAAACAAACAGTTTAAAGAATGCCGGCTTGCATTTATAAAGACATTTTTTGGGGGGGGGGGTCAATCAGACCTTTGCCCCCAAGCAAACACTCAGTGGGAGGATGTATTCATGTGGCCTGCTGAGTGGCCTGTTATTTGGAGACCCTCCCAACCTCCCGCACCAGGAAAACCCCTGAGTACAAGAGCAGTCTATAGCCAAAACATTCCACTTTAGGTCAATATTTTCTTGCCAGAAGCGGAAGCGGCCATTATGAGCTCTAACATAGCTGAGCTTAACCACTTTATATCTGCATCATTCGCATACACAGTGAACTCTGACATTTTCAGAAATTCACCTATTTGCAAATTTGTTTTGGGACCCTACTCTCAATTATTTGCTTTAAAAAAAACTAGAGCAAAGTTATAAATGTAGCTGGCTTGATGTTCACTGTAGCTTTATAATAATGCCCAGAGAGGACAGAAGGCCTGAGGCTTATTATTTAAGGGAGGTTCTTGCCCGATTCCCAATTCAGCAAGTGTGTCAAGGCTTCCAGCACATGCAAATGACATGTGTTGCCTATTGAGGCATTTGCATGTACTTATCGGCAGCTCAGCCTATATTGAGCCCTCAGTACGCTTGTCGGTCGGTGTGCACAATAGGAAAGAGGTCACATAGTCACAGCCAGCGTCTCCCTAATCACAACACAGCACACATTCGTTTAAAAGACAACAAAAGCGAACAAGTGAAGCATTAACAACGCTGATCTGGATCTTGGAAATAACGTCTCATGCGAATTGAGTTGCCAGTTGAATTCACTTGTTTTACTTGGAAAGTACACTCAACGATGTATGCAGATGATTGATATTCAGCTCTGTCAGACGTTTTAATTGAACAATACAGCTCTGGGGGAACAAATGAAGTGGGCATTGTAAAATCATATGTTGCTCTGATATCGTCACTGGTCATATGTTTAAGTACAGTTTTGTTTTGTTTTATTCTTTAAAGACAAATATTCAAATATTGACACGATATATTCTCAGGAAATCAAAAACAAAAAATGGTCGAAATATAATAGAGGTAAAAGTCATTATTTCTTTGGTGTTTATACTGTATACTGTATAGTCCTTCAAGGTTGAAATGGCGGTCTAGCTACCTCGTGTGTCCATTTTGAGAACTGCATCTTTCTGACAAGTAGATATACAGTAATTCCATTTCAAAGTTGTTCGACATACTTGACATCTAATGAATTGAAAGACTGATTTAAAGATGTTAAAAGCCAAATTCTGGGGACTACAGATCAAAATTTTATATTCTGTTATTGACGGAGTGTATATCATCACTCCCTGGTGGTCTAGTGGTTAGGATTCGGCGCTCTCACCGCCGCGGCCCGGGTTCGATTCCCGGTCAGGGAACTAAGTTTTCTTGACATCCGCGTATGTTTAATACGTTTGCTGCACTTCGTATGTACATGTATATTTTTATTTAATGCCTACAAGACAAGCAACAAAGTCATTGCTATGCACACAACAGAAAGTAATCGTAAGCAAATGACGCAGTAAATTATTTGTCTGAGTCACCTTCCTTATGTGTACAGTGCTAAATATGTACTGTAGGTAATAAGATAAGAAAACCTTTAATAGTCTCACAATGGAGAGATTCCCACTTCACAGCAGCAAAGTTATGAGAGGAAGAAGTAGAAGAACAAAATACAGTAATTAGGAGCTGCTGGAAAGGCAGCCACTCTCGCGACGCCATCTTGAAAGCAAAACAAAACAACAAAACACATAGGACACAGACAGTCGTGCAATCTTAATCACCGCTTTGTTGTTTGAAGCAGTTATAGATGAAAGAGGAGAGGATCAAAGTGTCCTTTTCACTTTGCTGAGAATGTGCACACGTCTGCTACAAGCTAAGTTTTGAAAGCATATCTGCTATTTGGACGCTTACAGACACCATTCGTAGCAAGCCAACTTTTTTGGGGCGTTAATAGCAAATTTTAGAAGAATGACATGCTCAATGTCCAGTAAACCGTGTCACATTTGACACTCAATTCCAATCCCTGGTAATGTTTATGCATATATTCATGAGAGAAAATAGCAGCAAACTGCAAAATGTTGAGACAACCAACAGTCTGAAATATTTATTCGAAACGGTCAAATTGCCGTCATTTCTACAGGTTATAGCTCATTTTTACAAAAGCACAGTATGACTAGCATTTGGATGTCTACTTAAACATTTGACAGCTCTAACCAAAATGTTAAAAACCTTTCAGTTTAGTGTTCACCGCAGCACAATAATCCATGTTAGCTGAGTGGCAATCGATAAACACAAGTCTTTGGTACAGGGCATCTTTCATTAGATATGTCGATGTACCCAATGTTGTGACTAATCAGCATACTTTAGCCCATCTTATCTTGCCAAGCTGGTAGGATGTTAGCCGTGCAATTCAAAGAATAAAACACAAATCAAAGATCATATTCAAACAGTTTATTGAAAGGTGACATTTCTCTCTCCAGTCTTAGAACTTCTGAAACTGTTTCTTGGCACCAGCCGCCTTTGTCACCTTGAGGACGTTGAACCTCACTGTCTTGCTCAGCGGTCGGCACTCCCCGACCGTCACGATGTCTCCGATCGAGACATCCCTGCATTAGAGAAGGGGAAGAACAAAAAACGTTGAGCAAAAAGAAAAAAAAATAACCAAACCATCTCTCATTGTTGAAGAATTAAGGCTGCATCAGCAATGCCGTAAGGCGATGTCGTCAGAGTTTAACTTGGAAGACCATCGTGAGAAAAACATCACGCGCAGAGGTAAAAATTGAGCTGGGGAAATCCAAGACTAGATTGAAGGTACCTGAAGCATGGTGACAGATGCACCGACAAGTTTTTATGCCGCTTCTCAAAACGGTTGTACTTTTGAATATAATGCAGATAGTCGCGTCTGATGACGATGGTCCTCTGCATTTTCATTTTGGTGACCACACCTGCACAACACAAAAAAATGTCAACAGTACAATACATGCTGATTTATATAGCGCTTTCACAAGAGCGGCAGCTGTAACAAAGCGCTTAACAAAACAGTTGACAGAAAGTAAAATAATAAACACAACACAGGAACATTAAGTAAAATAATGAACACAACTAATAACATAAAACATGGACAGTCATGCAGTCCTAACCACTTCCCCCTCATACTCTTTGTTGTTTAAAGCAGTTTGAGATGAAAGCTAATCAAAGTGTCCTTTCACCAGTGGATCAGAGACGCCATGCTCAAAATGTGCACACGTCGGCTACAAGCTAAGTTTCAAAGTCGACAAGAAGCTGTAGCATCCATTGACGAAAAAAAGAGATTGGTTCACTTCTCCTGTTCCATGTAAATGCATTTCAAAAACCACCATGGAAGCGCTGTCCCAACACTACATCAGAATTGTCGTTCTGTTTTGTCCTCAGAGCACCACAGGCTCGGAAGACCATCGTGAGATTAACATCATTTGAAGGGCAGCAACAGTTTACATAATACAATGGTGCCGTTAATGAATGCTTCGTGTTACAAGCATGAACCGAATTCAATTCACAAGCATCACTGGATAGCCTTTAACATACTGACCAGAGAGGATACGGCCACGGATGGAGACATTTCCAGTAAATGGGCATTTTTTATCAATATAAGTGCCATCAATAGCCTGAGGAGACAAAACAAAGCAAGCATTTTAATAGCAGTTAATTAAACGAAGTGCAACATTTTAGATCGCATTTAATCGCATCAGCTTTGCCAAAAGGCGTCGTCGTCAAAACCCTGCAGGCTAGGAAGACCATCGTGAGAAAAACATCACTTGCAGATTCAATTAATACTTGAACAGGACTTGAAAATTGACCTCTCGTGGGGTCTTGAAGCCCAGCCCGACACTTTTATGGTAACGGGGGAGCTTTTCTTTGCTCTCCTTGCCTCCATCAGCGGCCAGAACACGCTTCTTGTTCTGGAAGATGGTAGGCTGCTTTTGATAAGCCCTCTCGGTCTGCAGAAGGACAAATGCACACGTTCACAGCACGACCAAGAACAACGACAGAAGTGATTTTAAGACGAGCTACAGAGAACGTGAAGGTGGCTAAGCTAACCGCATTAGCAATCCGGCTGCTAGCGTAGCGTCACACGAGGGTAAGCGGAGTTACAACAAATTTCTCATCTAAAATATCTACTACGCTTCTAAAAACTACCCCTAGCGCTTTCTAAGAACCGCATGCGAATGTTTATTAAATAAAATTGGGCGTGTGTGTTGGTTAAAACGTAAAAAGTCGTTTGCAACACCCAGGCCATTTTCTCTTACATACTTGTGCATCCGCCATCTTCGCCAGCCGAGTTGTAAAGAGGCCTGAACAAGAGCTCAACGCACGGAAGTCGGTCAGATCTACCAGAAATGACGCAACATAACTACTTTCTTCTTTTTTGGGGGAGGGATACGACATTATGTCCAATTATATTAAAATGTAGCGTTACAATCAACTAACATTCTTCAAGGAAATACGAAAAATCAATACCTGAGCATACAGCGCATATAATGAGAATTAATAACAAAAATAAAAGTCAGAGGTATAATCATAAAACAACACATTCGTATCGTTGTATAATCAAGACATGATATTTAATGTCTTCGTAATCAAATTTGGGTAGTTTGTGTCATTTTCAAGTATTAATTTTTAAAAACCTCCCCAATAGGTTTTGGGATATTTCTACAAATATAAGAAATGTTTATCTTTCGCCGTCAAATTTAATGAAGTGATTATCATATGGTTCCGAACTCTTGTTTCTGACCGGTGTCTAAAAGAAAGTGCGCCTTATTCACGTTTCGTGTTTTGATTCTGAAATAATCAAAACTCATGTGCTAGCATCTTTACTAGCGTTATATGACAATCATCGCGGGCGTTTTATTATTATTATTATTTTTTAGATATTCTGTGTAGCTGTTAGTAGCGTTGGGTCTTCGCTAAAATGCTTCTTTTTTGTCCCACTTGCGGGAATGTTTTGATCGTCGAAGAAGGCCAGAAGTGCCTGAGGTTTGCATGTAACACTTGCCCCTACATACACAACGTCACGAGAAAGGTGAGTCGAACACGTGCAGTTCATATGACGTTAAACCTTTTGGGTGAATTCTGTCAACGTTGTATTTTTCTGCAGGTAAACAACAGAAAGTATCCCAAGTTAAAGGAGGTGGATGACGTTTTGGGTGGATCTGCTGCTTGGGAAAACGTGGATTCCACTGCAGGTGAGTTGACATGACCATACATGGCAATTTTCCGCGGATCCGCGGAAATCCGCCGTTTTATTTCTTAAATTGATCATTTTTGTGAATCGTCTAAATCCGTTGAGAAAATTTTAGGGGCGGTCAGGTACCTTATCGTCGAGTTTTCACGAGCTCTCCCGAACAGTCTCTCAGTTTTCCGTTTGTAAACAGCCCTGCGATTGGACGTGTATGAAAGCTTCAACTAATCAGATCACTGAAGGCATTATTTGTTGCGGAAGTCTTAGCTCGATTATATACGGCCCAGCGATTGGTTAACTACAAGCGATTGGACCAATCAAATTGCATGTAACATATTGTTTTACCTGATTCATGGCGGCCTGTTCGTCTCGCAAATTCATTGTTCTGGGATCGTTTTGAGCGGAATTCTGAATTTTTTGACGAAAGATCAGGAGTCTTTAATCCTAGAAATTGACTCAAATGTCAAGAATAAATTCCGATTGGACTGGCTTGACAGAAAAGTCACTGTAAAGGTTAAAATTGGTTCCAAGTTCGACGAAGTTACAGAAGCTCTTGGACAATAAGCTTTGACGTAGCAGGCAAAGCTTATTGTGTGTATTGTAGTGACTTAATTAACTATGGCTCACGTGGATGCGTTGCACTGACAGATCATGCAACAAAAGTGAAAAAACATGCCGACAAAATCGCCATTCGACGGAGCAATTATCCTTTGGGATCGGCATTTTTCAATCAAACTTCGTCAGCGGATACAACTAAAGACGTTACGCGCTAGGGTACTTTGGCTGAACCAAGCAACGAAATCTGCTCCAC